TATTAAAATGTTGTCCTTGTCCTTCAATTTGAAAAAAAATATATAAGTATTTATATTCCGAGGTCATGACTTTTCTTATTTATCACATAAAATTTTCAGTGCCTATATATGTCTGTGACTTTTCACTTGCATTACTAATTTATTTGTAGTTTCCTTTTCAGTTGTCTATGAGACTACTAGTAGTAAAGGGCCTTTAATTTAATTATTATTCTTTTAAGGTAGAATGCTCTATCATAAAATCATGAAATTTGTCTCGATCACCAAACTCCAAGTTTTTGATCTTGTACTCTGGCTTATGTTTTAACATTATTATGGTTGTCTTTGATAAATTGTGACTACCATGAAGGGACTACACTCTTGATATTTCATGTATACGGACATTTTTTCTTTAAAAGTATTGCGTAAAAGTTTGGAATCATACCATTGCCACTTTTAAATTTTTTATTGCATTCAAGAGAAAAAACTAGTTAGTAAATTTAAAAAAAAACTAGTTGATATTTCATCTGCCAGAGTGTTTACTTTCAACTTCTTATTGATAGAGGTTTACACTTTACACTAGTCACCGCACTAAATGTTATATAGTTGACTATCATGATACATGGTAGATGTTTTGTTTCATTCAGAAAACAGGAACAAGTCATTTTGCAGTAGTGTTATAATCTTGCAATAAACAGTTTCCTTAAATTTTGCAGATTGAAACTCTTCTTAAAGGCAAAGCTTGCTCTGGAATAAAAGAAGCTGCAACTAGTTTGACAAAACATCCTGCACAAAGAGCCCAGGAGACCTTTGAAGAATTTGAAGTGGCAATCAAGAAAGATACTACAAAGACTGCAGTTATAGATGGAACTGTCCATCCTTTGACACACTCTGTGATTAACTATGTGAGGTTTATTTTTTAGTAAGTTCAGCGTTTGAGTAAATTCTGTGTTGTCTGATCCCAATTTCGTAGCCATATCTTTTGACCTTTTTTGCCGTGTTCATTGATGAGATGACAAATTTGTTGGTCATTATTTATTATCATTCCTTACATGTCAAAATTTTTAAAATTTATTTTACAGTTCTGATTTATTCTGCTCATGGACATTTTAGTGCATTTCTGTGTTAGATTTGATGAGAGATTGACGTTCCATGTTACATGTTTGGTCTGTTAGTTTCTAGGTGTTTCTTTTGTAGTTTTATTGAAAGGATATCTTATTGATGGAATTGGTTCAAAATCTAAAGGAAAGAAATATTTTTTATTGATGAACCTGAAATACCAAATGTTGTGCCATTGTGGTAGCAGCCTTAGGATATAGGGTAGAACTAGAAAATAATGAGTGATTAGATCTGTCTTGATCCAATCAAATATTTCCAACTCTCTGAACTTGAGTTTTATTTTCCTTATTATAAAATGATGATGTCTATGAGGGAATTGTGCAATCCCATTCTTCTATTTTATTTATTTATATTTAAGAGAAACTGTTTCTTAAAGTTCAGTTTTCATTACCTTTGTAAGAAGATAATGCTATACTCTTCTCTAATGTGTGTGGCTAATATTTTTCAGGATCTTTATCGTAGATCTGATGTTCACATATTTGACCTGATCAAACTTTGCAGCTAGCAATCCACCTTGAAGCAAATTTTTCTGGAAAATTTGAAAGTGGTGATGATTCATCACAGCTAGCATATGTAACTGTGTGAATAATGCAAGCTTTGCAAACTAATTTAGATGGAAAATCAGAGCAGTATAAAGACCCTGCATTAACACATCTTTTTCTCATGAACAATATTTATTATATTGTAAGATGGGATTGGAGGTATATATTCGACATATTTTGGTTATGAATTTCTTTGAATTACAATTTTTTTTTTTTGCATATTTTGGTGGTTGAAAGTCTTTTTTCCTCTTAACCCTCTTCTGTTCTACGTCTGAGGCCAAGAATTTGCTAGGGGATGACTGAAGCCAAGGTCTGAAGCCAACGACATAGGAGGATTGTTCAACAACATGCAAATCAATAAAAAAAGAAATGCTTGGGCAAAGGTCTTGTTCTAGTGACCTTGTTGACCATTACATGTCTTGCAGCTTTCTAAGATGTCACTTGGATAATAGTAAAATATGTTTAGCCCCTCTAAAATTATCAAAATATATTTTGGTTATGAATTTCTTTAAATCACAATTTTTTTTACATGTTTTGGTGTTTGAAAGTCTTTTTTCCTCTTAACCCTCTTCTGTTCTTGGTCTGAGGCCAAGGATTTGCTAGGGGATTACTGAAGCAAGGTCTAAAGCCAACGACATAGGAGAGTTGTTCAGCAGCATGCAAATCAATAAAAAATAAATGCTTGGGCAAAGGTCTTGTTCTAGTGCATGTCTTACAACTTTCTTAGATGTCACATGGATAATGGTAAAATATGTTTAGCCCCTCTAAATTGATCAAAATTCGCTTTTAGTCTCTTAAATTATTTTTTCTTCCTATTTCAGCCCCCAAATTTAGAAATGCATCACTTTTAGTCCTCCAAGTACATTGGTAATGCTCAAAAATGGTTTTAAGTAGCTATTTAAACTACTTTGAAGATAAAAAAAAAACTCTGCATTCCAAAATTTCAGGGACTATTTTAAAAAAAAAAAAAAAAAAAAAAAAAAAAAAAAAAAAAAACTCTGCATTCCAAAATTTTAGGGACTAAAATAAGATAATTTTTGAAGGACTAAAACTGAACTAGAAAATTTTGGAGGGAATAGAAACAAAAACTTATTTTACCCTTTTGTTTTTGTTAATGAAGGTGTTCTAGTAGATTGATTTGTTTTTTCCTGATGTTTGTTTTTATGCGAATGCTCTATTTCTTCTTAACATTAATATTTTTTAAATTCGTCTATTTTTTTAATTTTGATTCTTTTCTCGGCAGATTCATCAGTGCTTATCTATTCAGGGCCTTTGCCCATCAGGTGGCAGGAGTGATACTGGTGGCAGCGATGGTGGAACTGGAAGCAGGAGTGATGCTTCATTAAGGACAGGTAGGTAGCCTTTCAGTTGCTTCTTTATGAGTAATGTCTTTGCTTGTTTTGACACGTTTACATGTATTGTGTTATCAGGTTTAAGAAATTGAATGTTATGTTTGAGGAACTCCATTAGAGATAATCTCAGTGGACAGCTCCTGACATCCATCTGCTAGTGTCTCTCAAGCCTGCAGTTGCTGAAGTCTTGTTGGTATGTCAATCGTTTTGGGAATAAAATAGTAGAGGAATAAAATAAATTTTGATCTTCTGGTTCAAAGGCAAAAGAGCTAGTTAATACAGCATTCTCACATTGAATATTTAAGATTCTCAAAGCCTGTAACCAGATACTATGCAACTGTTACCCTATGGTCTATTCCAAATCCTATCCAATTTCCTCTATTCTCCTCTCAAGTTTAATAATGACATGATGATATTGTTAGGTCTATTAAGTTGTATTTATCTTTTCAAATAAAATTTTTTGGGCATGAGAAGATTCCAATAAGTTATATATATAATGTTATTTGTTTGTATAATTTGTTTATTCACACACATAAAAAAACACACACACACACACATATATATATATATATATATATATAATTATCATTTGTAAAGAAAAATCTCATTAACTAACTAGCAGTAACATTACCAACATGCTACTCTTTTGGGTTGCACATATAGAGTAAGTATTTTCTAGTAAATATAGATTTTAACACCTAAATACTTGTTTTGCTAGGCTAATTGTTGACAGAGATTATGTAACTCATAAGCAGATTTATCCAAAGATGGCTATTACCCTATGGAATGAGGATGAAAAGTTTGATCAGGATGTTCTTGAAAAGCATCTTTAGTTTAAATTAAACAATAAAGTATTATACGATCAGGTCTAGTCTTTTGTTTTAGCCTTTTTGAAAAGAAGTTGTATGTGTTTTGATAAAGTGCAATATATTCTATTTTTTTATTTTCATATTTAGTTGAGATTGTATCCTATTCAAACCTCACATAAATAGTCGAATAATTTATTACAATTTACATCAAGCATTTATAATTGTATTTCAGATATTGTCCAGAGGTCACTCTTTTTCATTTGTAATATCTTCATATTTTTCCATCGATTTTGGGTTGATTATCTTTATTATCTTTTATTCATGGAAAATAAAAATAGATATTCTTTTATTTACAAACAAAAATTAATTTTAAATTTGATTTTATATAATTTTCATGAACATAGCTAAAACATGTTTTTAATTTTTTAATTTAGTGGTAAAATAAGAAGAAAAAAAAATAACTATTTGTCCTTTTTAATTAATTTTGTGAAGATTTATTTATTTTAAAAAAAAATGATAATATAAAAGTTTATATATTGTGCTAAATTATAAATCAAAAATGAGAATATTAAATAGAAGTATAATATAAACAATTTAACAAAATTAAGTGAAAATTTTTTAATTGGTAATTTCAATGTTATATTTTTAAAATTTAGAGGATAAAAAATTAAAAAGAAAGATTCAAATTCTAATTAAGTTTGTATTTTATTTTTAAAAATTAAAATATTAGAAACATCATAAAGATATTTTATTTTTATTCATGTTGATGGACATTTATTAATTTTAAAAATTTTGAGAATTAAATTATAAATGAATAAATATTTTAATATTTTTAAATAAAATTTATTAATAAAACTTCACCAAATAATTCATTTAAAATAAATAAAATTATAAAAATAAATATTTTAATATTCAGAAGCATTACTTTTTTATTTTTAAAAAAATATTTCTTTATTCTGCACGGCATGTCTTATTTATAAACATACATTTTCTCTTTTATCGAACGAATTCTCCGCCGTGTCGCGTGACCGTTTTTTCTGCCTCTCTATATAAATGTTTCGTGTCACTCTCTTCTCTCATTTCCACCTTCAAGAGTCGCTCTCTTCTCACTCTTCATTTTTTTCCAGTGTAAGAGTCTCTCTGTTTCTTCGATAGCACTGCCACACGCCAATGCCTCATCTTCGGTTAGATGTCTAGACTCTTCTTTCCCTTTTCTTCTGTTTCTGCAATTCAGACTCTGCTTTTAATTACTGTGTCTGTATTCTGGTTCTTTCTTGAACTTGCGTGTTCTTGTTTTCAAGACCGGCTGGTTCTTTCTTAAACTTGCGTCTTTTTGTTTTCAAGATCGGGTATTTTTCTTTATTTAATGTATTTGATAGGGATATTGATTGCATTTAAGCAAAAAGATGATCACTAATGTTTTGTGTGCCCATTATTTCACTTTCAGGAGTATTGTTCGGTGGTAAACTGGGTTGACTCTAGAGCCCTCTCCGGTACAAAAAAAGTAAACGAAAACAAAAACTGGATAAATGATTTTTAGAGATAAAGTGAATGGAAAGAAGAATGATGGAAAGCATACAAATCCGTTGTATGAATAGTTCTTTTAATTCTCCTTGATATAATGGATTCACATGTCTCAATAACTAATCTGTCTGCTTTTTAAGCTTTCCTATCAGTTTCTGGGTTGTCTTCCATTGCGTCCTCTGTTCTCCGCTTCTTCAAGAGCGGAATAACTAAAGAAGTTGAAGGAGCCACACAAGTTCAAGTAGAACCTCTCGTATGCAAGGTAAAAGCTTCTGTCTCTGCGACCCTTGTGGTCATTTTCTCCTTGCACTACCAAGGCTGCCAAAACTCCTTCTCTGCCAAAACATAGTTCTGCACTGCTTCTTGATTGAAATTGAAAAGCTATTTGATGTTTCTATAGTTGTAATTGTTTTTTTTTTCCTCAGAACTCAAGAAAAGCTGTTCTTGTTGAAATTCTTGAATGTGTATTTTATTTTTTTCTTTGTTCAGTTGCTTTTTGACCACATTTAGAAAATACATTCTTTCTAACTTTTGTGTAATTGGTAAATCATATTTCAATTTTTTATATTATTATTCTTCACCGCTGGGATCTGTAACAGTGTGCATAATGGAAGCTTTGCAAATAAATTTGGATGGAAAATCAAGTCAATATAAAGACCCTGCATTGGCACATCCTTTTTCTCCAGAACAATATTCATTATATTGTCAGATCGGTTCGGATGTATGTTTTCTACATTTTTTATTATGAATTTCTTTAAATCCCAATTTTATTGCATGTTTTGGTGGCTCAAAGTCTTTTTTCGTCTGAACCCTCTTCTATTCTAGGTTTGATGCCAAGGATTTGCTAGGGGGATGACTGGGTACAATGACATGGGAGGATTGTTCAGCAGCATGCAAATCAATACAAAAGAAATACTTGGGCAAATGTCTTATTCTAGTGACCTTACTGATTACTACATGTCTTGCAGCTTTCTTAGATGTCACTTGGATAATGATAAAATATGTTTAGTCGCTCTAAAATTATCGAACTTTGCTTTTAAGTCTCAAGTTTTTTTTGTCCTATTCCAATCCCCAAATTTAAAAATTCATCACCTTTAGTCCTCCAAGTACTTAAGTAGGGATTAAAAATGGTTTTAAGACTTTATTTAAACTAATTTGAAGATAAATAACAGTGTATTTCCAATTTTGTGGGACTAAAATTGGACAAAATTTTAGTAGGACCAAAACCAATCTAGAAAAATTTTCTTAGGAATAGGAACAAAAACATATATTACTCTTTTGTTTTTGATTATAAAGGCATTCCAGTAGATTGATATAATTATTCCTTATGTTTGGTTTCATGCGAATGCTCTATTTCTTCCTAACATTAATATTTGTTAAAGTTGTGTATTTTTTTCATTTGGTTTCTTTTCATGGCAGATTCTTCAGTGCTTATCTATTCAGGGCCTTAGCTCATCAGGTGGCAGGAGTTGTACTGGTGGCTGTGATGGTGGAACTGGAAGCAGTAGCGGTGCTTCAAGAGAAATTGTTAAAGACAGATAGCCTTTCAATTGCTTTTTTATGAGTAATTTCTTTACTAGTTTTGACACATCTACATGTGTTGTGTTATCAGGTTTGATGTTATGTTTGAGGAACTCCATCGAAAACAATCTCAGTGGACAGTTCTTGACACCAAACTGGGAGTCTCAGGCTTGCAGTTGCTGAAATCTTGTTGCCAGCCTATAGATCGTTTGTTAAACATTTTTGGTGGGTTCTCATTTTAATTTATGTCATTCCTATTTATTATGTAACGGGTTAGCATCCATGAATGTGAAATGGTGCCTTTGAAACAGAAATACATATGCCTATCTTTTGCCTTTGAAGCCTTGTGGTTTTTGTATGATCTATTACTATTTTGCAATAAGTGCATAATTGGGAACTTGATATGTCATTGACCTCTAGTGGGGAGTGGAAAGAATCCTCACAAGTACATCAAATACACACCAAAAGATCTAGACCGAATGTTGGGTGAATTTTTTGAAGGAAAAAAGATGTGTGAAACAAAGCGGTAAAATAATTGTTGATAAATTAAGATAGGTCTATTTTAAATTTAGCATGATGGTATTTGGGGGTTATTGGTTAATGCCTTTATTGAGGATTGGTTTCTTTTCTCACTCTCACTTGTTGTAATTCACCAGGTTTTATTTGGTAGCTAAAAAGGAGTTATCGTTTTTTTTTTGTGTGATAAGATGGGGAATGATTCTGTATATTTCGCTTGATTTTTTGCCTTAGTTGTTAGGGTTTGTTTGGAAGTTTGTTTACAGAAGTTTTGCATTTTTCAACATATAAAGGTTGAAGCTGCGCATGTTGAATGTGGGTTAAAGTCAACTGAGTTGATATAGTATTTCTGCCACGGGTACAAGTTTGTAATTATATGACTTTAGCAGTCTTGAGGGCAATTGCATGTAACAAGGAATTGGTGTAATATTCTGGCATCAAATTTCATATAGGAATTTTGAATATAGCATACTCATAACAGGTTGAAAAATTAGTTGATTTTTCTTCTTTTTTTTTTAAGTTTTTACAAATGTGAATTGTGGTTTGTGATTGTGTCTGTGATGAGTGGTATTTATTTATTTGTTACAAACTACATTTTGTACTTGTACATTGCATGTGTATGTATATTCAGTTCTTATACTATTAATCACATTTACAAATTTCCAATCTTGCTAACTTAGCATTGAGGTGTCTAGTCAGGTTGAGGTTTGTGTGTTAAGATCCCACATCGGTTAAGCATATAATGGTTGCAATGGTATTTTTAATGACTTGTGTCATCCTCTTCCCTTCAGACAGACTTTCAGAGTTGAGATGAACCCAATCTGTTGTCAATTATAATATTGTTTCCCATTTGTTATTGGTATTCTGCTTGACTAGTTTACCTGTCTGATGGCAGGTTGAATAGTTGTCTTCTTTTTTTTTGCCTCCTTAAAATCTCTCATTTTTTAAGGAATATCTTATCCTTATTTGTGCTATATTCCTTCTCATTTCTTCTTTATTAGAAAAGAGTGAATTGAGTTGCATATTGCAGAATCATAGCATCAGTTCAATGCTCGAGAGAATGATTGGGGTTTCACTAATTTCATGCCTCTTGCTAACTTCTATGATCCTGTTAGAGGTTTTTGGGTGAATGATAGATGTATAATTGAGATTGATGTTGCTGCATGTAACACTCTTGATGACTGGTCACATTTCTCGAAAAAAGAAACTGATATTGTAAGACTGAAAAACCAACTACTTGTTACATGAATTCTCTTATTCAGACACTATCACAATCCTTGTCTTAGAAATATAACTTTTTAACAAAATTATTATAAAATCTTTTATAACAATTTTTTTTTAAAAATTCATATTGTATAATTAATGTTGGTTTTTTTCTCTGTTTATAATTGATAATTAGGTAAACTAGATTAGACTAGGAATAAATGTTTTTTATTTTTAATTTTTAATTTAAGGTAGAGGCGAGCTTATTTATAATCTCACTCACTCCAATCTTATTTATATTTTTTCGAGCTTTATTTGTCTGCCTCTCTGAGTGCTTGTCTCCCCCTCTCACTTCTGTTCAAAATTGTTTGCTTTTTTTCCTTTTCTTTTCTTTGTAATCTGAAATTTTTTTATTTCTCCACACCCAATGCCTCCTATGTCTTTTGTGTTTCTTTTCTTTTGTTTTGTCTCTTCAATTCAGAGACGATTGTGGAATGCTTTCGCTTCTTTGATTTTGATTTTGAGTTGAACTCTATTCTTTTTTCAATATCTCTGATTCTTGTTTTCTTATGTTTGGAGTGCAATGAGATTGGACTCCTTTTGCCGTCCTTATTGCTGTTTTTGATTCCTCTGTCTGTGTTCAGGTTCTTTCTTGAACTTGTGTGTTCCTGTTTTCAAGACTGGGTTTTTTTCTTAATGTATTCGATAGGGATATTGATTGCATTTAAGAAAAAAGATGATGTGGTCATATGTGACATAGGTTAATATCAACTCGATCACTAATGTTTTGTGTGCCCATTATTTCACTTTCAGGAGTGTTGTTTGGTGGTAAACTGGATTGACTTTAGAGCCCTCTCTTGTACAGAAAAGAAAAAAGGAAACAAAAGGTGGATAAATGATTTTTAGAGATAAAGTGAATGGAAAGAAGAATGATGGAAAGGATACAAATCCGCCGTATGAATAGTTCTTTTAATTCTCTTTGAATTGTGGATTTTTTTATTTTGTTAGCATAATGTGTATTGCCCAAGCAATGATCATGTTTCTGTAGTATTTCAGGGGTTGGGACTTGGGGTGTGATCTTGCATCTTGACAAGAAGTACAATAAGTGCAATCAAATATAAAATAACTTTTGATATCTCAAAGATTGGGTAAGTTTTTGTTATTGATTATTTTTGTTAATCAGTGTGTTTATCATAATTGTATAGAAAATGTGGTTATCTTAATTTTTGCTAAAATATTAATTTTTTAGAACAATAATATGGGTTAATATATTACTTATGTTTTTTTTTATATATAAATTCATCTTAACTTGTATATTTTTTAATAAAAATAAAATAAAAATGATAAGTTAGTCCATAAAATGTACTAAGCATGAAGTATGTTGATTTCTAAAATGAATTAAGTTATTTAGTAGTTGAATTAATTATTTATTTGAAAAAAATTAGCCTATAAGACACCATCGTATAAGACAGCCTAAGGTTTTGCTAATTTGTCGTTGTGTGATTTATCTTTGTCTCTATGTTTGTCCTTATTTTTGTATGTGTGCTTTATTTCAAACTATGTTTGTTTTTGTGTCTGTTTGTGTCTTTATCTATTTGTGCTTGTATCTTTGTCACTCCCTCTGTGTGGTTGTTTGTGTGACTTTTGTGGGTGTGGTCATGCCTTTATGTCTATATATGCGTTCGTGTTTATTTTTGTGGGTGCTACTATAAATTTGAATTTTGAGAAAGCGATTTTTCGCTATTATTAAATGTTAATGACCCTTAGCTGAATTAGAATGTTTGAGTCGATTCTTGATAATTTTACTTAGATGGTACGATATTGTTGTTTCTAAATTCGAATAACAAATAAATTTTTTTAAGCATCGGAAAATGTGATGTTTTTGTCTTGTTGTTTGTTCAAGAATGCCCAAACGTGTTGAACGAAAATTGGGTATATAAATTCTAGCTACCTAATTAAATTTCGGTGTCACTATGAGATGAATTTTGAAAAAGAGATGTTATGCTATTTTTTAGGCTTATTGAACCTAAATGGAATCTGTATGTTATGGATGTCCTTGATTTACACCATAAAAAGTTAAAATTGTGGGGGCCACTATCATTGAAAACTTGATATCTTATGTATTCTTGCACACATTTTTTCTTTTTGATTATTTTTAAAGTATTAGAGTTATGCTCTATCTCTACCTGTGTGTATCACAATAAAAATTTTGGATCTGATGCTCACATTAAAGTTTTTGCTAAACATTTTCTGCGTCTTCTTTTTTTGAATTTATGGGAGCAGTGATGCATTGGTGGCAGTGAAGGTTGATGGGAAACATCTGTAGTTGATATACTTGAATATTGAAACAGATTGGCCAAAAAGGATCAGTGATACTGATCTGAATAATTTCCTTACATAAAGAGTGATTAGGGTTACAAGAAGAAAAGGCTACAGAGTAGGCTACAGAGTCTAGAAGCCTAAGTAATCACATCAGGAGAAAAGTCCAATCAGAAAAATACAATAAATATTTAAAGAAGAAGAAGCTTTCTAAACAAGCTATTCTAACACTCCTCTTGAAGCTGGTGCATACAGATTATATGCACCGAGCTTGGAACATAAAAATTGAATTTGAGGCCCCCTTAATGACTTAGTCATAACTTCTGCAAGTTGTTCACTGGAATTGACAAATTCAGTAATGATTTCCTTAGACAGCAACTTCTCTCTCACAAATGACAACCAACCTCTATGTGCTTGGTTCTCTCGTGAAATATTGGATTGGAAGCAATGTGAAGAGCGGCTTGATTATCACAATACATTTCATTGGATAATCCTCACAAAATCTTAACTCTTGAATGAAGGAGTTTTATTAATGTGTTATTGTGATTAAATTTATTATTGTTCAATCTATAGATCTTCAAGACAGCTACATCAATCAATGGCTGATCAAGATGACATTTTGCCCTTTGAGACAGCAAATCATTTAGTTTCTCTTCCACCTACTGCAGTCCCTAACACAAGTAGAATGTCACCTTCTCGTAGTTTTGATTCACGTAAAAATCGATCTAAAGTATGGGATCATTTCACTAAGGAATCCAATGAAGATAAGACAGCTAAATGCAACTATTGTGATAGGTTGATCAAATTTGAAAATGGAACAAGTGCAATGCGAGCTCATCTACGTAGATGCCAAAATAACCCAGATAAAGAAGCAAGAAAGAAGCAAAAGTCAAATTCATCCACAAATGTTGTTTCTTCTCCTTCCTTGGCTAGGCCTAAAATTGACCAAGAAGCATGTTGGAATGCACTGGTCAAAATGTTCATAGCAATGAAACTCCCCTTTCGAAATATTGAGCATGAAGCTTTGCGAGAATTTTTAAGCATTATAGCACCCTCTCTTACTGTCTACTCACGCACTACCCTAGCACGTCACATTTTGAAACTTTGGGATAGTGAAAAAGCAAAGATAAAAAAGTTTCTTTCACGTCAAAATCTATGTTACATATGTTTGACAACTCATTTCATCGACAATAACTGGAAGTTGCAAAAGAAGATATTAAATTTTTGTCAAATCACAAGTCACTCGGGAAAGACTATGGCTAAGATAGTTGAGTTGCTTGAGTAGTTGGAGCTTGAATCGGGTCCTTAGTTTAACAGTTGATAATGCCCCATTGAATGATGTTGGAATCTAATATCTCAAGAAGAGACTAATGTCATGGAATAGTTTGGTTATGAAGGGAGATTATGTTAACATGCATTGTTGTGCACATATTCTGAATTTAATTGTGAAAGATGGATTCAAAGAAAATATTGATGTTGTTATGAGAATTCGTGCCGCTGTCAAATATGTAAAATCTTCCCCTTCTAGGCTATCTAAATTCAAGGCATGTGTTAAGCAACGAAACATTGAATTTGAAGGGCTTGTTTGCCTAGATGTTGAAACCAGGTGGAATTCTACATACTTAATGTTGGAGGCTGCATTAAAACATCAAAAGGCATTTAAAGATCTTGAGATGCAAGATAAAAAATACATTGAAGAGTTAGAAAAAGGGAAGGGTGTTCCTACATTTGGTGATTGGGAGTTTGTGCGTGGTATCTTGCCATTTTTAAAGTTGTTTTATGATGCTACTATGCATATCTCTGGTTCATCTTATGTGACTAGCAATATGTACATGTTTGAGGCCTTCGGTATTGGAATAAAGATTAAGTAAATGTGTGCTTCCAAGGATGTGATTATAAGTATGATGGCTGAAAACATGAAACAGAAATATGATAAATATGGGACAATCTTGATTGACTGAACATGTTATTATTGATTGCTCTTGTGTTGCATCCAAGATATAAATTAAAATTCATGCATTGGTTGATTAATCAAAGTTTTGATGGTGTTGTGGCATCTAATTTGAAAGACAAAATGGAATAAAGTATAAGATGACTTTTTGAAGAGTATAATGGTGGGAGAATTGAGTCTGAAGCTAAACTCACAGGAAGCTCGACTCAATGAAGAAGCAAGTGACGATCCTTATGGCTACAACCAGTTTTTCAAATCAACTGGATCTCCTAAATCTGAATTAAGTAAATACTTAGAGGAAGCCTTAGAAGAGAGTCAAAGAGATTTGGATGTTTTAAATTGGTGGAAGCTAAATTCGGGTCGATTTCCAATTCTTTCAAACATGGCAAGAGATTTGCTTGCTATACCTGTTTCTACTGTGGCCTCTGAATCTGCCTTTAGTACCGGTGGAAGAGTTCTTGATGCATATCGTAGTTCTCTTACACCACAAATGGTGGAAGCACTTATTTGCATGCAAGATTGGCTCAAAGGGACACTTCCACCATTGTCCTTGAATGAAATAGAGGATTTTGTGGAGCTTGATAAATTTGAACAAGGTAATAATTTTTTTTAATTGCCTTACACTATATTATTTTATTATCTACTTAATATAATATGACATATGACTAGCTACTAATTGAATATTTTTCTTTATGTTGCAGGTATTGTCCCCTCACAAGACGGTGCTTATTCAGCCTCCTCCATTACACTTGATGATGATTAGAGAAACACTTACATTATAGTTTACACTTGTGTTCGTGTCTATGTGTGAGAAAGATTAACAGGATAATATGATCCTCTTGGCTTGTTTGTTATGGATTCTCGTGTGGTTGGGTTTCTTCTAGATTAGTAGAAGCTGGACAATAAGGAATGTTGTGCACTTTCTAGTTGTATGTTTTATTTAGATGAATGATTCAGGGTTTCTGATCACAACATTTCCTTCTTTTTTTATTTTTTATCATCTTTAATTAAATATTTCATATGCTACTGAAAGAGTCATAATTTGAATGTGAGATGTTTCGTGTTAGTCCTTTGAAAGAAAATCTTGTTCCTTTTCCTCATTGTATATTGCAGATGGAGTTCAGTCCTATAAATTCTAGTTATCTTTTGTTTGCTGCCACAGTGCCAGTGACCTCTCTGTTCAACTTGAATTTCGCGGTGGTTAGGTCTTTACGTTGCTGGTAATTCTACTATCTTTAATTCTCCATTACTTTCTCAAATTCCATGTAAATACCATTCACAAAATGATGGTTGTTCAATGTAGCCAATGTAACTAATAAACTAAAGGAATCCAGTTGAAGAAATTATTCTAAAACTGAATGACAATTATGACATACTAAAAACAAGATTGATATGTGACTGAAATAATAGGTGCATTAATAACTACTATGATGGAAAATAACTGTTGCAATATGTTTGAAGGATTCTGCAGGTGTACATCATCTGAAGAGATTATCAAGTGCCAGTATCACCCATATCCATCTACTGCCAACATTTCATTTTGCTGGGGTTGATGTTCAAAAGGAGAGAACTGGAGATTTGTAGGTAAAATTTATGACAGATTATCCTTTGAATAAACTCTTGTTTTACATTTAAACCTCCTCCCTTCTCTGCATACTTAATGGAAACTCTACTTCTTGAAAGAAATCTCACATAATATCTAGTGTCAGACATTAAGCTATGTTTCCCACCCTCTAGGATTCCTTCATCAGTGCTACTTGATCTTTAAATTAATACCTTGTCTCTTCACTCGATTTATAGTCTATATAAGGATATGATGCAGATAGTCATCTGTTGTTTCGTTATATAAATTTAATATATACAGTCATCAATGCATTCATAACATAGCCTTGTGTTATTTTTTTGTCAATTTTTGCTAATGATATTCATATCTTTGTGTATGTGTGTGAAATGCAAGTCATTTGTCTTCTTTTACATTTTCCTATAGATTGATTCACGCCTCTTATCCATTTGGTTTGAAGCTTGTGACTAAGATATGTGGTAAAATATGAGCTCATGATTATATTCTTTTGACTTATCTTTTGTTTGATATCTGACACAAACACTCTGATAGATACTACAATACTGGAAAGTTTGCCACCTGATTCAGATCAGCAACAAGCTCTCATCACAGCAATCCAAAACTTTGATGGATACAATTGGGGGTAAGATCCTAACATCACATTGATTGACAATTCAAACCATTTTTTTTATGTTAAGTTTGCCTTTATATTTTTTGTCTAAAAAAGGTACAACCCTGTTCTTTGGGGCGTTCCTAAAGGCAGTTATGCAAGTAATCCAAATGGTCCTTACCGTACAATTGAGTTTCGTGAGATGGTTAAGGTCTGAATTTATTACTTTCTAGCCAAAGAAGTTAGATCCATAAATCCTATTTTCTATTTAATTTTGTAATGTAGATCGTAATACTATTGTATACAATCAATTAAATCTATTTTTTATTGTTGTCTCTTGGAATTTGTATACATTAAAGGCTCTTAACCATATTGGCCTTCATATTGTGTTGGATGTTGTCTACAATCATTTGCAAGGAAATGGACCTTTCGACGAACATTCTATCCTTGATAAGGTCACGAATTATCATGATGTATTCTTTGTTGGACCTGTAATTGTTGAGATATACATATGCATAGTTGTCCTATTGAGTATTTGTTCACTATTTTGTAAAGCCAATCTGCTTGTATTAATAATACTGCTAGTGAACACTTTATGGTTGAATGTTTGATCATTGATGATCTTGTACACTGGCAGTCAATTACAAGGTGATTGTTTATATCATTCACTGGTGTTTACTTATTACCACTTATATTTGTTTGTTTTAGAAGCTTTTTATGTTTATTGGCTGCACCCTTTCAATTACAAATAGTACTTCACCGTGACAAGTCAATTATTGATTTTATGTAGAATCTACTAGTTTTCATAATGATAAAATTTTCAAAAACTGGTTTGGTTATGAAACTGGTTTTAAACCGGTTATAAATTGGTTTATTAAAGTAATTCAATTTTAAAATGATTTATTAAAGTGGTTCACATAATTTATAAATTGTTTTATTTTATTAAAATGGTGCGATGTAGTTCGGTGCAGTTTTTTTAAAAAATCAAACCATGCACACCCCTACCTTAAAAAGTTATCCTTATTCCAGAATTCTAAACATTTTGGTTGCCTTTATGTATGGATATTTTGATTGACATATGATGCATATGCGATTATAAACTTGTTAAGGTTATCTTTGACCTGATGTCAAAAAATGGGGTTGTTTTATTGATATGAGTTTTTTATTTATCACAAGAATATGTGGGGTATATAAATCTTAAAAAGTTGTATATGTCCTTGAATTTAAAAATTTATATAGCCTTTATTTAATAAGTAGTTTGATTGGCATATGATAAATATGAGAGTATAAATATTAAGGTTGTTGCTAACCTTGATGAAAAAGTGGTTGTTTTAATGATATAAAATTTTATTTAATATGAGAAAATATAGGGTTTGTAAACCCTAATATTTTGTACATACCCCTAAATTTGGCCTAACATGGTTGCCTATATTTGATGGATAGTTTGATCGACATATGATGAATGGGAGAGTATTAAGCCTTTTAAGGTTGTCTCTAACTCTTATGTCGAAAAAAGTAATTACTTAAATGAAATGATTTTTTTATTTATCATAATAAAATATTGGGTTGTGAATCGTACAAAATTGTTCCTAGCCCTACATTTAGAAAAATTTGGTTCTCTTATTCGAATAGTATTTTATTAACATGATGAACATGAAAATATACGCCTTTCAAGGTTAACCTTGGTCATGATGTTAAAAAAATGTGGTTACTTTAATTGTATGAATTTTTTATTTATTGTGATTAAATATTGGGCATACAAACCCTAAAATGATGTTCTTGTCCATGAATTTGAAATAAATTGTTGGTCCTATTTAATGATTAATTTGCTCGACATATGATGAGCATGAGAGTAAAAATCTTTTAAGGTTGTCTTTGATCTTGATGTCATAAAAATGTGATTGCTTGTCTTTTAAGGTTGTCTTTGTTCTTGATGTCTTTTAAGGTTGTCTTTCTTTATGAATAGTTTGATCAACATATGATGAGCATGGGAGTATAGACTTTTTCAAGTTTTCCTCGATGTCGAAAAATGTGGTTGCATTATTGATATGGGTTTCTTTTTTTTATCATGATAAAACGTAAGGTATTTGAACCCTTAAAATGTTGTCATTATCCTTGAATTCGAAATTTTTGTTGCCATTATTTGATGAGTAGTTTGATCGATATATGATAAACGTGGGAGTATAAAACCTTTTAAGGATGTTCTTAACCCTGATGTCGAAAAAAGTGGTTGCATATCTATGCCTTGTATTGGTGTTTGTGTGCGTGCTCTGTGCTTGTCTCAATTTTATATGTGTGCTTGGTGTTTATGTTTGTCTCTATGTGTCTTATTTAATATTTAATTTCATTAATTCAAATTGACGGATAATCATAATATTATTTTATACATTGATTTGAATTAATGAAACAAAGTGTTAAATAATTTTCAAATTTTTTAAAAATTTACAGATTTAATCTATGCATCAATAACTTTAAATTCAAATCAATGTATAAAATAATATTATGATTATCCGTCAATTTGAATTAATGAAACAAAGTGTTAAATAATTTTCAAATTTTTTAAAAATTTACAGATTTAATCTATGCATCAATAACTTTAAATTCAAATCAATGTATAAAATAATATTATGATTATCCGTCAATTTGAATTAATGAAACAAAGTGTTAAATAATTTTCAAATTTTTTAAAAATTTACAGATTTAATCTATGCATCAATAACTTTAAATTCAATGGTTGGATCGTTGAAATTTAATATAAAACATGAGTTATTGAACAAAATTAGTCTATATAGACTTATTCCTAGAATAAACAGATCATTCTTTATATATATACATTTATTTATTTGATCCTCACTAATAAGGATATGTGATCGAATACCTTGTTAGCCCTTGGTCATCCAAAGTACACATGTATAAATATCTATCTAACATAATTAGACAAGTAAAAAATATATTTAAAAAAAAAACAATTGGGATCTTATTTATTTTTAAAAATAAGACTAAAATAGTGTTATAATACGAGATAATTCTCACTTAACAAGATAATTTTGCATCATTGTATTAAGTTTAAATCCATATTTTAAGATGATATATATGTTATCCAATATTCATTAAACACAGTCACCCTCAAGTCTCACAAACCTATTCTATATCTATTAAAATGGTCATATCCATCATATATCTACATATCAAACTTATATAATGTTGGCGTGAGGGATGTATTGAAAAAAAATTCAAGTCCACTTCAATTAGAGTCTAGAGCTAATCGAAATTGAGTATAGCCCTAAACATATTTTTTGAGTCTTTCAAATTGTGACAATTGTATGATTTTAATTCTTCAAATTTTAATTTTTTAGATTTTATAATCATGTGATTTGTATCTCTTAACTTTTAATTGATCAATTTTAATCTTTCAAATACCAAAAGTATACCATTTAGCCTCCTCTTTAAAAATTTAATAATTTTGTTAATATAATACTAAAAGAGAAATACATTATATAGATATTTCTAATTAACTTTCTTTTAATATATTTATTTTATATAATATCTTTATATTTTTGTAAAAGTATATTATTATATAATAATTTATATTTATGAAATTATAATTTATCCATAAATCTACTAATAATATTTTTTTAATTTATCAAAAATATTACAATACATACATATACAGTAACTACTTTTGGTCTCCACTTTTTAGTGGACTATTATATCCCTTGAATATAAAAAAAATATTTTTTTTTTCTAAATAACTATCTATAATTTATAATATTTGTCCGTGTATTATTATTAGAGGCACGAAGTGCCTCAGTCCTTCTTGTAATAATAATATATATAGGAGGGTTATAATAACACCGGTATAATTTTTACTAAATATTACACTGCTCAATAATTTTATATTAAATATAAATTTTATAAATTCAACTATTAAATCGAAAGTTCTTTACTTATAGATTATATATATAAAAAATATCAATTGAGTTTAGTTTTGTTGATAATGATTGGTATAGGATATTTTGTTCAATTATATGTATTTAATTAGCACAATTTTGAATGAAGTGCATATCAAAAAATTATTCTACTTCAACTTTTGAGTTATATTTTACCTTCAAAATTTGAGCAACTTTTTGCATTCCTATTTGGATGTTTTCTATCAACATTTCATCGATTACTTTTAAATATTAGTTTCTTGCATAATATATTTTTTTTATTTGCATCCATTTCTTTCATGAAATGATTAAAGAATTGTTATATATACATTAAGTTTTATGATTTGAGCAGCAGATCGAGACTAAATTAATTTTAAATAATTTATAATAATGTATTATAAATTATAATACCGATGGGCGAAGCGAGTTTCATTTGACATATGTTGTATATTTTTCACCTTTATAATAATATATTTTCCTTTTCCATTTTGTAAGCTTAAGGAATATGCTCTCTCTTTCTCTCTATATATATAAGGAGCATATCAAGTGAGAGGAAATTTATTATGAGAGATGAGAGAGTTAATATATATATATATATATAGTAGAAACTCTTTAAATTAATAATCGGTAAATTAATAAACTCTCTAAAATAATAAATTTGTCCGGTCCCGACTTGGGTCAATGTAAAAAATTGAAAAAATCGATAAAATAATAAGATAATAATTTTTCTGGAGATCCCTTTATAATTTTCGGTTCAAGAAAATCATAAATTAATAATTCATAGAAACTGAAAAAAATATATTACACTCTATTGAAATATGATTCAATAGTTGTCTGTTTTCCTTTAAAGTTCAAGTCTATTTGGAACTCATCTCTAACTTTTCTTATTGCATCCAATAGGTCAGGTGTTGTATTTTTGTATTGTATCATAAAGTTGTGAAGAGTGTTCGACGCCATAAGTGCTTCCTTTCGCGTAATAGGCTTCAAAAGTCATTATTGATTTTCAATGCATATGTACTTCAAAAGTCATTACGTATTGATTTTCAATGCATATGTACTTCAAAAGTTACTAATTTACGTTGAGTCTCAAGGTTCGCTGTAACGTAATTCTAAGAGGCATAGACTAATTTGCCTTTTTGTTTGGTATGTACAGTATAATTACTTAAAAACTCTTTAAATTAATAATTATTAATTTATCGATAAATTAATAACTCTCTAAATTAATAAATTTATCCGGTCCTGACATTATTAATTTAAAGAGTTTCTACTGTATATTGTTTTGAAGTTTGAATTTCATAAGCTTGTGACTTAGAAATCATCTCTTTCCATTTTTTTTTCAACTTTATTACTTACTTTATAATTATTTATTATAATATTCTAACTAACTTTTTTTCCATGCATTGCACATGTCCATTTACTAGTTTGTCTATTATTATAAAATTATATTTAATCTATCCATTTTACATAATCAGAAGAAGATGGGTCTTATGTGCTTGATGTCACTCCTTATTCATACATGGACCAGATTTTGAATAAAATGATAACAACTCTAACACAACCGGATATTATCATGAATAGGTTGTACAAAACAAGTAATAAGAGTAAAGACAATGCGGTGAAGAAAATCACCAGAAGAGTTGAGAGGGATGGACAATTTGATGTGGTTATAAAGGCAAACTTGGTATAAAAAAAAAAGAGTATATGGCGGAACAAATCACTATACGTGAGAAATATTCAAGAAGAACTTGAGAATCAGTTGGGTTTACAACTCCAAGAGAAGATTCTAGAGGAAAGAGCTAATTGTTTATATGAAAAAATAAAGATGAAGCAAAAAATCCTTATCATCTTAAACGATCTGCAAGGTGAAATCAATTTGACCAAGATAGGAATACCATTTGGAAATGATCACAAGGGTTGTATAATTTTGTTAGTGACCAATAATAAGAAGGTGTTGTCCAACAGAATGAAAATCTCAATAGTCTTCTCTACGGATGACTATTGTTGAGGTCTTAAGTTCAAACTTATAAAATAATTTTATGAGATTTTTATTGTGACTTTATGTTTTTATATAGAGAAGTTTGTTTGGTTAATTACTTTACAAAAATAAATTAAATCTTTCTTGTTAGCTTTTTTTTTTGTTAAAATTATTTCAAGAAATAGATGAATTCTATGGTATTCTTGGTTTACAAATTGGGTTGATGAACTATTATTTAAATTATATTTTTTTATTATTTCAAGGACTTTCATATCCTTGATAAAAGTAAAGAGAATAGTAACATGATAATGAATGTTGAGGAAATGAAAATCAAAACATTCGAGGCGTGTTTGTATTATCATCCAATTTTGTTCAAACATCAAAATTATGTGTGAAAGAAATTATGTTGAATGTGTTTTGAAATTTGGAATCAAAGTAAAATAAATAAGCATTTGGTCTGGTTTGTTCAATGATTCCAAATACTGAAAGTTGTTTGTAACTAAAATCCAATTATGTGTGAAAGAAATTATGTTGAACGTGTTTTGAAATTTGGAAGCAGAGTAAAATAAATAGGTACTTGGTCTCATTTGATCAATGATTCCAAATACTAAAAGTTGTTTGTACCTAAAATCCATTTTTGGGTAGGTGATAGTGTATTTTTAGCTTTGAACATGATAGCAATTTATTTAAACAGTATCCTATTGATGATGTTCAATAGCTAGTTTCTTTTGTTAGTTATCCTGTAAGTTGAAAGTTTATAGGAATCACAATTTAATTGCCATATCTAATGAGTAAATTAGGATAAGGGAATAGTTCTCCATCAAGCAATAAGCAAATATTTGACTTTGATTTCTTTTTCTACTACACCTTGCCTTTTATTTTAAATGCTGAAATTCATTTGGTTGTCTTCAATTTTTGTAGTTTTAGTTATCTTGAAAGGCCTTTCACGAGAGTGCTTATAAGTTCTTTCTTTGACAAGTCAAAAAAAAAAAAGTAATCTCATTGTGTAAGGGCAACTGTCAAACATGGATTTAGTAATATATATCCAATTAAGATGGAATAGAAGTTGTGCTGATGGGTAGTGAGAAACGAAATTTGGGTGACAATTTTAAGAAGCTCAATAAATTACAAAAATTTATAACAATATATAAAGGTATTTCATGGATTTTGATCATGAGCATTGTAAAATTTTGTTAGTAACTAAGAATCAAGATGTGTTGTCAAACCAAATGATAACCCAAAAAGTATTTTCTGTGGATAACAATAGTTGAAGCCTTAATTTCAAACTTGTGGAATAATTTTATGGATTTTATTATGACTTAATCTTATTATATAGAGAAGTTTGTTTGGTTATTTAATTTAAAATATAAATATTTTCTTGTTAATTTTTTATTAGAATTATTTTATTAATTATAAATATTTATGTTAAAGTAAATTAATTTGTTCGTTATGAATTGATATTTTAAATGGATCAATCTAATTTGATTCATTTTTTGGTGAGTCAGAAAAATTTCAATCTAATTCAATCTATTACGGATTAGGAAATTATATTGGTTTTCTTACCATATTTTTAAAATGAGAAAAACTAAAAATTAGTTAAATATTTATGTTTTTAACAAATAAATAAAGAGTTACAATTATTTTATTAAAAAAATTAAGTTAATTATTGATTTAAATGTAAATATATAAAAAATATTAATCAAATTTTTAAATAAAAATTACATAAAATATAATTTTTTTTAATTGTGATGGATTAAAGGAGTCAATCCAACTCACTTGATTGTTGCATGAAAAAATAAGGTTTAGAAATTAATATTCTAGATACATTATATAGTAGTTTTTTTTTTTTGAAAAAAAAAACACTAAAAATAACCACAATATTTCCATTTGTTACCATTTTCATTTTTAAGAGTTGGAAGCCATCACAACTATATTCTTAAGTCCTTAATATCATGTTCCTTTTTTTTTTTTCTATCTTTGAAAATCTTCACTCATATATTCATGTTGAGACTCGATCAAGTTATGAAATACGTTAAAAAAGAAGCAGATATTATAATACAACTAAATTTCTGAATCTTTGTTTGATTTAAAAGAAAGAAAAATAAAAGGAATAGAAGAGAAGGAAAACATAGTAACAAATATTTGAATAATATTATTTAATAATCAACAAAAAAAAATATAAAACTTAAATTATATATTTTTTAAAATAAAGACACTAAATATCTTTGCTTTAAAATAGGTGATCAAAATTATGAATTAATAAAAATAGAAAATCTAAAATTCAAATTTAACTTATAATAAAACCAAACAAGCCTATTTTTTCAAATTCAATTTAAAAAAAAATACTATTTGATAATTAAGTTAAAATAAAGACAATTTTAAAATACCGAAAAATTTATCCCAAAGAGGGAGCAAAGGTGCCGTGCACGTTTTCCACGTGTCCACTATTTCGCGGTTTAATCCAAAAGAGGGGGAAAAAAAAACCTAACTCTCTTCATTCTCCAAGACGAGGACCGAATTTCCTTCTCTCCCGGCATTTTCCCGAGAAAATCAGGAGCAGCAGCAGAAGAAGAAGAGGGGTCGATGATGAATTCGATCCCTCATGGAACCACACCAACCTCAATTTCAGATTCTCTCATTGGAGACGACCTTAACTGATCCCGAACATGTGAAGCTTATTCAGTGGGAGGACTTCCAGCACGATCTCGCTAGGTTGACCAGTCTCTCTTCCGCACTCCACCACGCCAACCACAAGAAGCGAAACCTTCACCACAAGCTCCAGTCTCTCATCCAGGTAGCATTTCCGGTTTTAGGTTTTAGGTTTAGGCGTTTGTGAATAATGCCGAAACTGCGTTTCTTGAAATTTGGAAATTGCGTTTGTGCTGTTGAGTACTGGAAATGAAAAATTAAATGAGAATGCGGTTAGAATTTAGTGGCTAGAGCGACACCGCGTGTGGTCTCGTGGAGACTGTGAACTCGAGTGGGGGATGACATCGCGTTGTGGATTTGATTGGGAGGATTATTGGCGGAAGGAAATTGATCGGGGGAGAGAGACGAATTCGTGGTGGTGAATGTGATTGGATTTGTCGTGAAAATGAATTAGAAGCGAACTGTTTATATGTTTGTTTATTATGTAAGTTACTTACTCTTGGCCTGTTTGCAAATTAGGGTTCACCTTATAAGCGGATCCATCGGTTTACGACTAGGCTATTTATTATATATTTTTGTTTGGGATTGTGCTTTTTAAGTTGGTTGCTGAGAGGCTTTGAATTCATTCCGTGTCTAGTGGAGTTGAGGTTTATTATGGTTGTTGTTGGACTGCATGATCTCGTATTTCTCTATTTGTTTTTGGTAATAAAAAGCGAATGTTTGGAAATCCGTTGGTGGGGTGTTGAGCATAAGTTCGGGGAATGAACTCCTTTGTATCTTTTGGTTGAACATACTTTTGGAAGGTTTGGAACATGCATGTGTTTGTTTCGCTTATTTTGGAAAACAAATAATTTCTTTTTTGCCAGCTTCCATAAACAACTGGGATTATTTTCGAAAACTATTTATTTCTTACTTATTATCCATGGCTCATTTTCCATTTAGGGTTCTCCAGTTCTCCTTATAAGTAGATCTGTTGATTCACAACTAAGCCATTTTATTTTTATTTTTTTTTGGTTTGGAATGTGGTATTTAAGTTGGTTGCACAGAGGTTTCAGTCTAGAGGGGTTGAGGTTTATTATGGTTGGGCTGGTTGATTTCTCATCTCTCTTTTTGTTTTTGTTGATAGAAAGTTAAGGGGGGAGGGTTATGAACATGTTTGCCTATGTTATTTTGGGAAGAAAAAAAATCTGTTTTTTGCGAGCTTCCTTAAAGAACTTTTGATATCAAAGTGATTATTTTATCAGGAAAAATTGAAACCAAACATGTTTTGTAATTTCAAGGCCAAGGTGATCTTTGGGTTTTGGGCTGTCAGCTGTTGTGTTTGACTTTGCTGCCTAGAGGCTTTAAATTCCATCACTATGTAGTGAGATATGGGGGGATTGAGTTTGTTGCATTTATCTTAACATAGAAGCAAACTGTTTCTTTTTTTTTATTACTTGTGGCCCATTTTCATTTAGGATTCTCCTTCTCCTTATAAGCAGATCTTTAGGTTCACAACTAGGCTATTTTTTTTTTTAATTTTAATTGTGGTATTTAAGTTGGTTACCCACAGGCTTCTAATTCAATAACTGTCTAGTGGGGTTGAGGTTTATTATGGTTGGAGTAGATGATCTCTCATCTCTCTTTTTGTTTTTGATAATAAAAGCTTGGGGGGGGGGGGTATGTATGTGTTTGTCTCAGCTTATTTTGGAAAAATAATCAGTGTTTTGCCAGCTTCCATAAAGAACTTTTGAATTTTGATAATGAAGAAATTATTTTATCAGGAAAAATTAGAATCAAATGTATTTGTAATTCCAAGCAGGGTTATCAATTGCAGATTGTGGAAAATGGTGGAAAGCCAACAATCTGCTATCATCATTTTCCCGGGCAAATAGCGGAAGTTGAATAGCAGTTAAAATATATAATACATCAATTATAAGTTGTATGCAAATAAAAATAAAATGCATAAAAGTTGACATAAATTTAACTCAAAAGTTCAATTAGCTGAAGATGTGGCAGAGATGACAAGGGAATGTAGGATACATACTGCAAACATGACACCATAATGGCTGCAATGGTCGAAGGAGTTGTGATTGTGGAACCAAGGAATTCCTCAATGCAATAGCATTATAGCACCACCATAGCGGCTATTTAACAACACTGATTCCGAGGCCAAGGCATATTGAACTTGAGCCTTACAATAGTCTGTGGTGATTTTGGGTTTTGGGCTGTGTTTGACTTTGTTGCCTAGAGGCTTTAAAAGTCTATCACTATCTAATTAATGAGATATGGGGGATTGAGTTTGTTGCATTTATCATAACTTAAAAGCAAACTATTTTCTTCTTTATTACTTGTGGTCTATCTTCCATTTAAGCAGGTCTGTCAGTTCACAACTAGGCTATTCTATTATTTTTTTGGCTTTCGATTGTGGTATTTAAATTGGTTTCAGACTGGTAGGCGTCTAATTCAATCACTGTCTAATGGGGTTGAGGTTTATTATGGTCAATTTGGTTAAATAGCCGCCACAGAAGTGCTGTAATGCTATTGCATTGCGGAATTCCTTGAATCTGCGATCATGATGGAATTATATGTTTGGATCAGCTTATTTTTGAAAAAATAATGTCTTTTGCCAGCTTCTGTAAAGAACTTTTGATAACAAAGCAATTATTTTATCTGGAAAAATTGGAGCCCAATGTTTGTAATTCCAAGGCCAAGGCATGCTAAAGGCCTTAATGATGGTTTATAGTGATTTTTGCAGGCACATGTGTTGTGGGGAAGGGGAACAAGGTTGGCATTGAGCCTAAGCCTTACATTACATTATATTCATTGCTGAGAGGCTTTAATTTCCATCACTATCTAGTGGGACATGGGGGAATTGAGCTCATTGCATTTATGTCATAAATTAGAACTAATATATTTATTTTCTTATTTATTAGTTATTACTGGACTACTTGTGGTCCATTTTCCATGTAGGGTTTAAGGTGATCCTTTGGTTCACAACTAGGCTATTTTATTATTCTATAGGTTTTGGATTGTCGTGTAACTAGTGTTTAAGTTGGTAGCTGAGCTTCAAATTCAATCAATGTTTAGTGGGGTTGAGGAATACTATGGTTGGACTGGATGATCTTTCATCTCTCTTCTGTTTTTTGGTAATAGAAAATTAAGCTGACATGTCTTTGATTATTTATGAATACGTCTTATCTCAGACTTTGCACTTTCTTTTTTCCTACTGTGAATATTTATTCTTTATTATTTAATCTTCCTCTTTTTATCAGAATAAGGAGAAAGAACTACATAACTTCGATTATAAAGAGGCATATTTACATTTTTTAGGAGCAGATTTAAGAGTAATAATTTTCTGATGATCAAATTTCTGGTTTTACACTGAACATTTTGTGTTTAAACTTTTAACTTTTATCAGAGTTGGTCTGAGTAGGTGTACAATCATTGGTGTGTAATGACTTCTGACTTTATTCTGTTGCATATCTTGGATCTTAACTGATAAATGTGCCCAATATGATTAGATACATGATATATGAACAAAGGGTAATGCACTTGATTCCCAAATTCCAACTCAGAATAGCCTGTTAAGCATAGCAGTCAGCTGCGCTATAGTGCTTCTATAGAGTGTCATGTCTGTTGGCTGCTCAATAGAAGCCTGTCATGTCACAGCTTGCTGTCGTGCCTGGAGTGGCATGAATTGCAGCTGCTATTGCTTCTGATATTCATAAATGAAGCCCTTTTTTAGCCCCTCGATTGATGTTCTTTGGTGCTGTTTAAGGGGGTCAATCTTGGTATTTCAGCCCTCCCTCCTTTTATTTGATCAGAACACAAACAATATTTCCCACTCTCAACTGCATTTCTGGCGACCCATGGCACTCTGATGGAGTTTCAGGTCAACCCATACGAAACTCTGCACACCATTCTATGGTCTCTACTCTCTTCATACCATTTGGGGCCTGTTCTGTTCACATCAAAGGTGGTCTCTTCTCTCTTTGATGCAGACCATCTGTCCACAATCTGTAAATGTCTGGTACACTGTTCTGTGGCTCTACTTTGTTCGCATCCTTTGGGGTCTGTTCTGCTCAAGTCAAAGAGGGGTCTATATATGTGTGTGTCTGTTATGTTTTCTCTTTCTTTCACTGCTGTGTTCAGATAGTTAACCTTATGCTGTCCTTTCTTGTTGTAATTTTCAAAGAGGGGTCTATATTTATATGTGTGCTTTGCTTAAAATTATGTTTTAATTATGGGTATTTGTTTAGTATATATATAATTTGATTTATACCTATAAATTTTGTAGTAGTAGTCATCCCACTATCTGTTATATTGCTACAGTTAATTTGGGGTTGGTCACTTTACTGTTATCAGGACTGATAACTATGGTGCTAAGATTTTATTTGAGCACAACAGTTCAGTCTTGTCAATTTGTTGAGTGGTTTAGTTTGTGTTTTATACTACGGGAAGCTTTTTCATGCTAATTATTGGTTTCAGTTGACAACAGCAATGTTAAAATTTCCAATATATAGTTGTATGATGATTTTTATTTTTTACTTGTACCTAATTGACGAGGATGCATATTAATGGGCAATAATTTTGTGAACAGGTCAATGCTGAATCATTGGGTCGGTTAAATGAACTTGAGGAGATGCGTCAAAAATTGGAATCAAAGAAAATGATGATGGAGAATATGTCTATTCGTTCTAGACTGGCAAAGGAGGATGCTAGTAAGCAGGAGGAGCAGCTTAGTGTTGCTGTGCAATCACTCTTGGTGGCAGGGGGTGCTCTTTCTGTAACCAGCAGAAATCTCCAGGTGAGTTTATGCTATAATGTTGAAATAATTAGAAGCAAAAAGTTCAGTAGTCTCTATCATTTTTCTTTTAATAAGCAATGTTGAAGAGACTTCTCAAAAAAAGAAAAATAGCTATGCTATGAATATTGGCAAACAATTGGGAGGGTACACATGGATTGAAATTTACCTTTTGTGTACCATTGTGGTTGACATTTTGAGTGAGATGTATGAAAGAGTATAGAAGGGTCTCCTATTCTATAAAGCATTGATACTTCTTTTTATTCATGTCTCTGTATCAGATATGAATCCAATTTTGATACACTCGAATGCTTAACTGATTGGTATCTATGAAGAAGTATCCAAGCCTTTAAAAGGAGTTATGAAAACCTAATGTAGCCCAAATGAGACATAGAAGCATGTATAAGATAGAAATGAATTAGCATTGTCTCTATGGATGATGCTCAAGAATGAAATGAAATTGATACTATTCTTATTTGTAGGCAATAGGCATTGATTTATGAAAACAACAAACTACAATGACAACAATAACCTTATCCCATCAAGTAAGGTTAACTATATAGATCGCATGACGTCTTTGGATTCGGTTGAAAACAATTTTGAGGGATATTATCCGGCATGAGCTCCCTTTTAATAATTTCCTCCAATGTTGTCGGCCTTCCTCTACTTCATTTCATTGAGTTAAAACCATTCAAGTTACTTTCTTCATTAGCATCTCCAATGGCCTTCTTTGCACTTGCTTAAACCACGTTAACCAATTTCTGTCATTTTTCCTCTATAGGTGCTACACCAATATCTTGTAGACAATTATTTTGTATCCTATTCATTCTTGTGTGGTTACACATCCATATTAACATACTCATTTCTGCTACTTCCGCTTTTTTCTCTTTTTTGTCACTTTTAAAGTCCAACATACACTACTATAAAGTGCAACGTTCTCCATTTTAACTACCCAATTTATATCTTATGTGACATTTCCATTAATTTTCCCATAAATTTTTCATATTGATCTTTAATCCTTTAACTAAAAATCTTGTGGTTGATATTTTCTCAAATTTTTACCTATGTCATTTTCCTTTTGTTACTAAAAAAGCAATGCATGTACTTTGTTTTATAGAATGTGGATTATGGATCTAACTCAATCTTATAAAATCGGCTTGTAAGGTGAGGATTGTCCCCCACTTATATACTCTTTAATTGCCTTATCTCTAGTTAATGTGGAACTTGAATTTTTTCCAATACATCTCCCTCACATCCAATACTATTGGGCTTGATATGTGGATAAATGGTGAGTGACCCTTTTCAATGATTTAGGATAGGTAGGACTTCAGTTTTTTCCAATGCACCCTCTCACGCTAAGAATTATTGGGCTTGGTGCATGTATCAATGATGAGTGATCCTTTTAGAGTGGATGTAGATAGCTCTGATACGATTTTAGAATGGGGTTTATGGACCTAACACAACCTTACAAATCAGTTCGTAAGGTGAGGGTTATATCTCACTTATATATTCTTTAATTGCTTTATTTATAGTTGATGTGAGACTTGAATTTTTTTCAATATACCCCCTCATGTTCAATATATTGGGCTTGATATGTGGATAAATGGTGAGTGACCCTTTTTAATGATCTAGGATAGGCAAGACTTGGATTTTTCCAATATTGTTTTACTCATTAAACGAAAACCATTGATTCCATTGCCTGTCTCTAAAGCTTGAGTTAATTTGTTCCCTTGATTCCTCAATCAAAACTATAACAAAAAGTATGCATTTAGGAACAATCTTTTGCATGTCCTTGGTTAACACATCCAAGAACAAAGACTTCCGTCTTTGTGTGATGGGTCTTTGTATTAAACCATTAATTTATCTTTTATCATAAGAAAACTAAATATTTGTTTCATATATGGGTAGCTTGGATATAACTATTATGTTCTTTGGTTGTATTTTATCTTGTAAGTTGTAACCCATAGTATATTATCATATTTTTGATAATTTATAAGAAGCCTTAAAGCATGCTACACAGTCTCAACTATCAAGAGAAGCATAGTATTCACTAATTTTAATTTTGGTCCTGGGTTTTTTTTTTTTTTTTAAATTGTGAAAGGCAAAGCTGCTTTTTTACAGTTTCTCTGTATTTGTTAGGACTTATGGGTGATATATCTTCTTGTCTACTATACATGTTATTTTAGGGTTGGGATGGTATGTTTAGAGACTTTTAATTTTAAACTTAATCCCATCCCTTGATTTGATTAATATTAGTTTCTTGGGCTTTGAGTTATAGAGGGAATGGATTGTTGTCTTGATTTAAAAAATGGTTCATTTTATTGATGAAGTATGTGTTAAAATTGACATTCATTCTATTGTTCTTTTTTGCTTTTGAGTTTTGACTGAGTTTATATTCAGTTGAATAGAGTATACCTTTCTCAGTTTTTCTTGTGTCTATCCTTCTGAAATGAACTCCTTGTTTTCTTTCAAATGTTCTCATTTCTTTGAAAGCCTTCTTTCCGTTATTTGTCCATGTAAGAAATAGCATTGACGTGTTTATTTAGCTGAATCTAAATAAGTTATCATTTTATTCATGATGCTTTTATTATAGGATTCAAGTAGATTACTGTCAGAAGAAAATGGTTATGTTCGTCTTAGAAAATTGCAAAAGATGCTGAGGAAGAGGCAACAATATATGACATCTCAAATTTCAATGCTCCATCCTGTAAAGATCTTGGTTGGACCAGCACAAGAACAAGAGCTTGAAGCATATCCTTTAGGTTGCCTGGCAGGTAATGGTTAGCTCAATAGTAGTCTCTCTCTTTTTTTATTTTTTTATTTTTTATTTTGATAATGTGCCCCTAAGGTAAAAAACGGCCGAGGTCATGCAAAATAAGAAACTTGCAATTTGAATAAATGATGAAACTTGAGGTATTGGATGGTTCAATTCCTATCCCTTGATTTCTTACTTGCGCCTTGGGATATAGTTTTTCCTTATGTTGGGCTGTTGCGTTGAAAGGGTGTCTTTCATTCTGTAACTTTATCTGCCTGATGTGTGTGCCTCGTGTCTTGTTCTTTTATTTGATGCTTCTGCGTTAGTTTTGCATAATGTCAATAGCCTTAAATTATAACTTTATAGTTTTGTTTAGTACAGTAGATTTTGGGAGGAAGGAAATTGAGAGGAAAGAAATTGGATGAAAAAGTCAGTTTTATATTTTTTGGTGGAGAGAAAACAGAGAGAGGAAATAAGCCTAGTGAGGGATTAATACCAAACTCCCCAGTTGCCTCCACAGTGCAATTCTCGCTCCTTGTCATTTTGATGCAGGTCAACTGTGACAGCTATTACAACAACTCCACTACCACCATCCATGGTGGCACTCCACCCAATGCTCCCTTGCCAAAGCCACCAGCTGCGGCAATTACTTCTCTTATCCCAAGATTAGCTATAATTGAACACTAGGATGGAAAATATACTGTTTCCTGTCATGCATTTTCATTTTTCTTCTTTAAAATTTCATATTCGATTTGTATTCTTTAAATTGAAAGATGACTGACCAAATAACAAACCTTTTGAACATCCATCCAGCTAATTAATAATATTGTTTTTTGGGTATACTTTTCTTCATACTGCAAAAGACTTTCATGGGATGTTTTACAATGTGACATGGATGCAACAGAGGACCATAGCTATTCATTGAATATTAAGTTTAAGTCTAGTTTCTCTCAAGCTAATTTAAATTATCACAAATTTTTGGATAATATTTACTGCATCTCCATGTGATACTTTCTCTGAATTTTTTATTGTTAAAAGTTTCCTTTATTTCATTACTCAGGGACTTCTGCTGATCTTAAACCAGTTAATCAAGGATCCTTAACAATTCATGGTCTGCACTTGAATGTGCTATCTTTCAGGAAGATGAGCTTTTTCACTGATAAAAAGGAAATTCAGAGGTCTGCTACAGCTCTGGGGTATGTTGCACATGTGAGTATTAGCACCTACCTGGCCCTTTTTATGCCTCAGAACTGATTGTGTTATTCTATCTTGTGCCTTTTGTGATCCATTTCCAAAATGTGTTGTACAGTTCCTAAATTGTCACATACATATTTGGTTTAAATTACTTTTTCATTCTTACAAATATACCAAACTGTTCCTTTTTTGTTCTTTCGTTACAAAAATGCTTGCATATCATGTGTTTCACGTGACAATATCGCATTATAAAAATACTTATGTGGCAATGCTAAATGGAACTAAGTGATTTTTGTAACAGAGACTAACAGGAAGGACCAAAAGTAAAAAGGTTTCAACATTAAAAAAATCTAAAAATACTGAAACTAAAAGCAAAAACTAATATGTTCACAAGGACAAAAAATATATTTAAGCCTACATATTTTGACATCTTGTATATGGCAAACTTAATTGTCATTTCTTTTTCTTATCATAATCAAACTTCTGTATTTTCAGCTGCAGCATTTCTTATGCCAGCTCATATGGATGTCCGTTGACCTATAATAATTATTGAAATATACCTTATTAGACCAATTTTCTTGCAGGCTGTTTCACTTATAGCGTCATACTTGCAAGTTCCTTTGCGATATCCTTTACGGTTGGGTGCCTCTCATTCATATATTATTGACAATGCACCTTCAACAGAACTAACATCTTCCGAAGCTTCATCAAATGCAAACACAAATAATGTCAAGCACGTGGAATTCCCTCTTTATTTAGAAGGTCAAGACACAACAAGAGCAGCTTATGCTGTATTCTTGCTGAATAAGGTATATATTTCAATTTATATTTGCTTTTTAGCTACTCTCAATCTTTGAAATGCTCTGTTTGAACTAACGCAAAACATAACAGGGCAGGGATAGTTTTATCTTGTTTACTTTTCCTTCAGAATTTCTGAGGACACAAATAAGTGCATCTTATAGCAGACACTCTCTGCCCCCTTATCATTTCTAATTTATTTGTTTGGGTTGTGGACTTTATACATTTTCATATTTCGCAAGATTGTTGGATCTGTGTTTTGCATCTTTAGCAGTTTGTTTCCCATCTGTTTCACTGAAGTAGCTTTCTATTTTGGCCTAGCTTGTGTTTTTCTCTTTGTAATGAACAAATACTGATTTGGCAGATTTCCGTTTGACTATGAGAATAAAGCTTACGGTATGTTAGCTAACTGGAAGTTTGGAGGGTTCCTCCACCAGAATTAGCTTCTCTTCAGTGTTCTATTTTCCCTACCCTTTGTTCGAATTGAACTTACAAAGTGGGCTACTCATTATAGAGAAAGAAACAAATCTCAGTTGTTGATGAGAAAATCAATAGTCAATATTACGTACACTTGCATAACCAATCACGGATGTGTTGGGATATTAACTGTTAATATTAAGAACTTATTGGTTTTTTCCAAAGACTTCCTCCTACTAAAAAACAAATTTATGATTGTCTGCAGTTGAATTTTCACCGTCAAGAAATCATCATAAAAATGCTTTGCAAACACCGAATAATGAAATAAAATGTATCGTACAACATTCTAGACCATTTAATTTTAACTGCAGGTGTTCCTGCTCCCAAAAATGAGTATCAAGATTTACATTTATATTGACACTGACAAGCTGTTGGTTTTGCATTGCTGTTGTCAGGAAGGGTGGCTTAGGCTTTTGCTTAATGTATTTGCAATCTCCCATACTTCGTTATTGCTTATTTTTCTCTTATTAATATTTCCTGAAAGTGTGGTTGTCTGAACGAGATTTAATAGCTATACTACTGTGTAGACATATTCGTGATTAACCTTGACTTACTGCTCCTTTCCCTCGTGCTTTTTTGATTGAAGGATTTAGAACAGCTTTTGAATTTCATTGATGCCAAGAGTTTGGGACCACGCCATGTATTGGCTAATTTGAGGGAGCTTTCAAGGACTATCCAGTCTCCAGCTTTTACAGACAACTTTTGATCTATTATTTTTGTCTCTACTGTAACTTACTTGTAAATTGATTTTATTTTTTTTTTAATTCTTGCCATGGTGCAAATTTTTTGGTGCACCTTCCGATATAGAGTTGTAGCATTGTTATCAAAAAGGATTCAAACTTCGATAATGGATTTGGTATTCTTTAAAAAAAAAAGTAAAAAATATACACTGCTGTCGAAATTATTGTTCTTTCACTTCTTTTGGAAGAACATAAATATCAGATACATTCCTGAAGGGATATCATGTATAAGACAAACTTTGGAGAAATGCATACTTTTTGCGAGATTTCTTTTTTAATCTGGGAGGATCTTTATCGTTTGTTTGAAAGATGAACAGGGATTGGACGAGAAATCAATGATGAAACCCCTCTTCGAGTAAGAAAATGAGATGCGAGAACTGCTTCAAATTTTGATGATTTTAGTACGTGATGTCGTTAGTTTGTTTTTTTATTCTTTTTAGAGTTTCTGTATTGATTCATTGAATGTGCTGCACATAGAAATTGAGTTCCTGGAATCAGCGCCTTTGTTACAGCGGCAAGAGCAGTCAACCTACTTCCTTTTCTTTCAACAACCACAGCCACCACAAGGAGGAGGACGACTGCCACGGATCCGATTTGCAGAAAAAGCCAAGGCACTTTATGAATTTTTCTGTCATTGAATTTTTAACTAATATATCTAACAGTTATAAAACATGTTCTCCACATAAACTATCTAATACTAAACTTTAAATTTAGAAAAATTGGTGCCTCGTGAGTGAGGCACTCAGTGGATGTATTCATGGTAGGAGCCTTACTTTCTCTCGACCATAAATTTTTTAACTCAATGGTAAATCACAAGAACTTTTCTTTGAAACATTTACATTCAGAAGATGCTGCAGAAATTAATTTTATCATTGGCAAAATCCATACTTTCGTTGGAGGATAAAAATTGCAGCCTCGAGATATTTTCACGGAATCACGGGTACAAGTAATTGAGATACAGCAACAAAAGCACAATAGAATTATAATACAACGGTGTCAACAAATGACCATTTAAAGTTGGAGTAGGATTTTGAAGGGCTCAAGCATCCATTTGTTAATATAACCAATAACCTTGATTAATGATGAAAGAAAGTCCAACACGGTTAAAGATGCCTCCAACAGTGTAAAGAAGAATTGAAGCCAAAAGATAAAGACATAGCATTGGTCGCATTTCTTCTCCATATGTGGTTTGGAGCAAGAGGGACTTTTACCATTTCCTTGTTATTTTTTTCCTTATCTCCCATTAAAAGGTACCCTGCAATGTACAACCACTCCCTCAGCGGGTAAAGGTTCTAGTTATATAAAAGAGCGAGCGTAAACACTCGTTTCTCCATTGTTCACTAAAAGATAAAACACAAATAAACGGACACTACTTTGGTTGGGTTGACTGGTCTTTCAGAAGACACAAACTAATGACTCAGGTGAATCATTTTTTGGCTTTGTTACTCATGTTGTTTTCAACATTATCATTTCTCTTCTTGCTATAATTTCTATGCGCGCATTTATACATTTTTTTTATCATCTTAATAGTATTAAGTATTCACTTATCTAATCTAAGAGAATTTGGCTACCTATCTATCTTCTCTCTCGATTACTTTTTTTTTTTTTTTTACAACTTGAATCCAAAATTTTATTTAAACAAACCAAATCTAATTTCGTTCGGACCAACGGTTTATTGTTCGAGATCTTTACATATAAGCATTTAACCAATAATTCAAAATAAAAAAAAGAAGGGAAATATTATTCTACTATGCTTCTCGAACACAGCGACCATGTTATTGCATTCGTATCATCCTTCCTCGTCAAACCCTTCACGCTTTTACGGCTTTGTTATCTCACACAGTTTTTTTCTTTTTTTTAATTTCAAGAATGGGTATATAGAAAATGGTCAAAATACTTTTTTATACTTATTTTTTAGTTTTTATAATTTAAAATAGATATTTTTAATTTCTGTACTTATCTTTGTTAATTATTTTGATTCTTATAATTTAAGATACATCTTTTTAATTATTATATTTACAATTTTTTAATCATCTTATTCTTTATAATTAATATTTTTGTTTCTGTTTTGTATTAACATAGTAAAAGTTTTAAATTTTGTGAAGATAAAAAAAAGGTGTATCAATAATGTGCATTACAAGTGAGGGTACAAAAGAGATTCAAAATATTGAGAGAATTAATTTAAAATAATTTCAGAAAGATAAATTCAACAAAAGATACACAAAATTAAATTAATATCTCTCATATCAAAATAAGAGAAACAATATTATAAAAAAAAAACTATAAATATATAGACTAAAAAGATTTATCTTAAACTATAAATACTAAAAAGGATAGAAAATAAATAAATATAATGACTAAAAAAATTATTTTAAACTATTGAGACTAAAAGATAAAATATATACAATTATAAGAATTAAAAAGATATTTTAACCTAGAAAAATTATCAATATTTATACCTTGTTATTTCTTATTTACTTATTTTATAAATCACAATTGTAAACACAATTTTATTAAGAATAGTCATTCATGACTTCTATTTTTTTATTTTTAATATTTTTTTACCTCACGCGGGCATTTATTTTTATTTTTCTTAATTAACACCTTACAATACTTTTTTGATTTATCTTAGAAGTCGCAACACACAATTGGGAATACAATTTTACTCAGAAGTCTCATGATTATTCACGACTTCTATTCTTTAAATTTTAAATATTTTTTTTATAGTTTTAATGGAGGGAAAATTTTTATCTTTTATTATTTTTATTTTACACTAGTGTTCTAAGACTTTCTTTTATACTAATCTAGTTTAATCTAAAGATGAATAAAATGTACTTTACTTTGATGAAAATTACGAATGGATAAAAATAAAGACTAAAAATGTAATTTAATCTATTTTTATTTACAACACAATAATAGTTTTTCTTTTAACTTTGTGAGTCCCTTTTTTTTTAATTGAAGGGGTAAAAAAATCTCAATACAATTAATTAAAAACCACCGGAGTACATACATTGGTTGTAGTTTGGTGTATAAGAAGGAAAAAGACCAATGAAACATGCTAGATTTGTACACTCATCTCCATTCAACGTATATGGATTTTATATATAAAAGTACAAATATGATTAATGTTATTTTACATGTGGTTAAAAATAAATGAGCTTAATTATATATGTATATATAATCGATATATGTAGTTAATAGTAATGTTAACAAGGTTATTAAAATATTAAATAGTGATTAATTACTTACCTCACAAGTAGTTAACCATGTCATGAATAGTTATTAAATATCATACACATTTAATAATATGTATAAATATGATAAATTGTCTTATAAGTGGTTAATAGTGTTATAAAATTATTGACTATCATATGTAAATACGGTTAACTTTATTTCACTATTAACAGTATTTGAAGTTATTAAAATCCTTAATAATAATTAACCGTAACTTGTAAGTAATTAACTGTTACATAATTACTAAGATATTTTTTTATTAAATATATTTTTAATTCCTACAATTAGTAAATTTTGATTTTGCTTCTTATAATTTTTATTTTTTTATTTTTTATCTTTCTAAAATTGGAATTATTATTTTTAATCCCTATTTTTTATGTGATCTTTTTTACTAATTTTTATTTATTAAAAGCTTTAATGATCATTCTATGTGTTATTTACAATCATTAATAATATTATATTGTTATTTTACAATTTTTAAAAATTTAATAAATTTTTAAGATAGATATTATTTATTTATCTTAAAATGATCATTATAGGCTAAAAATATTAAATTTAGATTCTAGAGTAATGAAAATAAAAAATATTTGATATGGATAAAAACTATAAAAAAATATTTTATAAAAGTAAAAAATAATGTTTATAAATTTTAAAAAATGAAAAAAAAATTAGAAGACCAAAATCAAAATTTACTCATTTTATAAAAATTAAAAACATATTTAAATCCTATCGATACGACCTTTATAGATGTAAAATATACCTTCATTTTAAGTTAAGGTTCAAATTTGAGCTTTTGGTTAAAAAACACAAATATCTAATTATTTGTACTAATATTTTTTTGTTTATAATTATTAAAATATTTCCACTGCGTTTATCTGCATCAAATGCTCGAGAAATAGTGTAGAAAGAGAGAAAAAAAAATACTAATCTTCCAATAAGTTGCGTGATTTGTTCAACAAGAGAGTCGGCTGAAGAGAAATTTGCAGGCTTGGATTGGATCCAACGTCTGTAAATTTCTCCACAAATTTGAGTTGAAATAGCGAAGAAACAAAAGTGAGAGAGGAGAAGGTTTTTCTACTTTTATCCCTCTACTTACTCTCTCATATAAATATTAAGGCTTTTTGAATATAGTGGGACTGTTTTAAAAATATTTTATGTAAATAGGGCTATTTTATAGTTAATTATGTTTTTGGGTTGTTTACAACGGTGTCACTGTGGCTCATAACGATATTCATGATACATGTTTTTTTTTTTAGGTTGGGCTGGAATGAGCCCCACCAGTGTCGCTATAGGCTCGGCCAGCACACTTAAGTGTGCTGGCCTAACAAAAACAATGTAGTCCATAGCGACACTATGTAAGAAAAAAATAAAAAAAAATAAAAATAATAGAAATGTAAAATAAATAATAAACTGAGTTATTTATTATATATTTATAAAAATAAAATTAAGTTTTTAAAACTATAATTTTAAATTATATTATATGAATTTTTTTAAAGTGACGTTATGGGTCATAGCGACAAATGGGCCATAGCGCCAATCATTTTGTATAATTTTTTTTTTTTGCAAATAATCACGTTTTATTTTTAAATTTTTGTTTTTATATTTTGAATTCAAAGTACACAAACTAAATAATTTAAATAATATTATATTATTATAAGTAAATAAAATAAAAAACTAAAAAACTTGAAACAAGGGTTTCGCTAAGGGCAGCAACACCACTTTTTTACGTTTTTTTTTAATTATTAACTTCAATTCTTTTTTTCAAATTTTATTTTTTATTATCAATTTCATATAACATTATATTTATAAATTATTACGTTTTATTTTTAAATTTTCATTTTTATATTTTGAATTAAAAGTAAAAAAACTAAATAATTTAAATAAAATTATATTATTATAAGTAAATAAAATAAGAAAATTAAAAAACTAGAAACAAGAGTGTCATTATGGGCAAGGACACCACTTTTTTACGTTTTTTTTTAATTATTAACTTCAATTCTTTTTTTCAAATTTTATTTTTTATTATCAATTTCATATAACATTATATTTATAAATTATTACGTTTTATTTTTAAATTTTCATTTTTATATTTTGAATTAAAAGTAAAAAAACTAAATAATTTAAATAAAATTATATTATTATAAGTAAATAAAATAAGAAAATTAAAAAACTAGAAACAAGAGTGTCATTATGGGCAAGGACACCACTTTTTTACGTTTTTTTTTAATTATTAACTTCAATTCTTTTTTTCAAATTTTATTTTTTATTATCAATTTCATATAACATTATATTTATAAATTATTACGTTTTATTTTTAAATTTTCATTTTTATATTTTGAATTAAAAGTAAAAAAACTAAATAATTTAAATAAAATTATATTATTATAAGTAAATAAAATAAGAAAATTAAAAAACTAGAAACAAGAGTGTCATTATGGGCAAGGACACCACTTTTTTACGTTTTTTTTTAATTTTATTTTATATATATTTATTTTTAAATTTATGTATTTTAATATTTAAATGAGTGGCGCTATAGCCTATAACGACATTATGTCACTATAGGCCATAGCACCACTTTCACAAATTCGTTTTTTTTTTTATACTATTTACTTATTTTTTCTAAATATTTTATTTTATATTAAAAATAAGGCGGTGTAGGCTCTAGTGACTTCATTAAAGCCATTTTTTGTCGTCATGGGCTGTAACGACATTGTTTTTTTTTTTTTTTGATAGGCAAATGTTAATTGTTAGTGGGGGGATTCGAACCCACACCCTCCTTATCTCTCCAACATTATATCCCTCCCCCCAAACCACCTGGACCACCTAAATATGGTTTTTATGGCTTCCCTGAACTGAAAAAATTTCATGTGTCACCGGTGTCGCTATGGCCCATAGCGACACCGTTAAAAAGTACCCCAAAGGTGTATATTGTTTAAAAACAGTCACATTTACGTAAATAATTTGGGGAACTGCTCCGATATGGTCAATCAGCCAAATATTAAACACAACTTCATTTGAATAGGGAAGCACATGTCTCTTGCTCTCGGATCTCCAATATTTGATTGTGTTTTTCGATGGACTTCATTGTTTTTGGCTATTTGTGGAGGTGGATCTTCTTCCTATTTAAATAACTACATCTTATATTCAAATAATTAGATTGTGGATATGAATACTTGGAGTGCTTATTCGAATATTAGGATGTTTATTCAAATATATGAAGTGTTTGTTTATTTGAATAAGTGATACTTTATTTAAATATTATTTTATTTTATTTGAATATATATGGTCTATTATTTAATTTTTCATTTAAATATGTTGTAAATATTAATTTATTTTATTCTAATATGATATATTTTTATTAAATGAATAATGAATATAAATATAAAAAAATAAAATTTTGGTATATAACATAAAAAAGTAAAAATATAGTTGTTTAATTATAATTTCTTTTCTCTCTATCCATTTAAATCAAATAATTTTATAATATTATTTTTTATCTATTTTTTTAAATTAAATAATCTTATTTTCACCCTATTTCTCAGCTATTTTTACTCACTTATTTTTATTTATATTTTTTTATCTTATTTCTCACATATTTATAAAACATTGTAATGATAACAATTAATGACTTGAAAATGAAGTTTAATTACATTTATAAATGTGATCGATCCCATAAGGAAAGTTTTTGTAAGCATAGGCAGGATAGGATAATGATTATTAGCATAAGAAATAGTAATACAGGAAAAGCGGCTTTTTGACCATAGTGGGGCTGTTTTAAAAACATTTTACGTAAATGAGGCTGTTTTGTAACTAATTACGCCTTTGAGACTGTTTACAACGGTGTCGCTATGGTCCATAGCGACACCCATGACACGAAGCTTTTTTTTTTTTTTTAGGTTGGACTGGAATGAACCACACCAGTGGTGCTATAGGCTGGGCCAGCACACTTGATGGACTAACAAAAACAATGTAACCCATAGTGACACTCTGTAAGAAAAAAATAAAAAAATGAAAATAATAGAAATGTAAAATTTTTCTTTATTTAATGTATTTGATAGGGATATTGATTGCATTTAAGCAAAAAGATGATCACTAATGTTTTGTGTGCCCATTATTTCACTTTCAGGAGTATTGTTCGGTGGTAAACTGGGTTGACTCTAGAGCCCTCTCCGGTACAAAAAAAGTAAACGAAAACAAAAACTGGATAAATGATTTTTAGAGATAAAGTGAATGGAAAGAAGAATGATGGAAAGCATACAAATCCGTTGTATGAATAGTTCTTTTAATTCTCCTTGATATAATGGATTCACATGTCTCAATAACTAATCTGTCTGCTTTTTAAGCTTTCCTATCAGTTTCTGGGTTGTCTTCCATTGCGTCCTCTGTTCTCCGCTTCTTCAAGAGCGGAATAACTAAAGAAGTTGAAGGAGCCACACAAGTTCAAGTAGAACCTCTCGTATGCAAGGTAAAAGCTTCTGTCTCTGCGACCCTTGTGGTCATTTTCTCCTTGCACTACCAAGGCTGCCAAAACTCCTTCTCTGCCAAAACATAGTTCTGCACTGCTTCTTGATTGAAATTGAAAAGCTATTTGATGTTTCTATAGTTGTAATTGTTTTTTTTTTCCTCAGAACTCAAGAAAAGCTGTTCTTGTTGAAATTCTTGAATGTGTATTTTATTTTTTTCTTTGTTCAGTTGCTTTTTGACCACATTTAGAAAATACATTCTTTCTAACTTTTGTGTAATTGGTAAATCATATTTCAATTTTTTATATTATTATTCTTCACCGCTGGGATCTGTAACAGTGTGCATAATGGAAGCTTTGCAAATAAATTTGGATGGAAAATCAAGTCAATATAAAGACCCTGCATTGGCACATCCTTTTTCTCCAGAACAATATTCATTATATTGTCAGATCGGTTCGGATGTATGTTTTCTACATTTTTTATTATGAATTTCTTTAAATCCCAATTTTATTGCATGTTTTGGTGGCTCAAAGTCTTTTTTCGTCTGAACCCTCTTCTATTCTAGGTTTGATGCCAAGGATTTGCTAGGGGGATGACTGGGTACAATGACATGGGAGGATTGTTCAGCAGCATGCAAATCAATACAAAAGAAATACTTGGGCAAATGTCTTATTCTAGTGACCTTACTGATTACTACATGTCTTGCAGCTTTCTTAGATGTCACTTGGATAATGATAAAATATGTTTAGTCGCTCTAAAATTATCGAACTTTGCTTTTAAGTCTCAAGTTTTTTTTGTCCTATTCCAATCCCCAAATTTAAAAATTCATCACCTTTAGTCCTCCAAGTACTTAAGTAGGGATTAAAAATGGTTTTAAGACTTTATTTAAACTAATTTGAAGATAAATAACAGTGTATTTCCAATTTTGTGGGACTAAAATTGGACAAAATTTTAGTAGGACCAAAACCAATCTAGAAAAATTTTCTTAGGAATAGGAACAAAAACATATATTACTCTTTTGTTTTTGATTATAAAGGCATTCCAGTAGATTGATATAATTATTCCTTATGTTTGGTTTCATGCGAATGCTCTATTTCTTCCTAACATTAATATTTGTTAAAGTTGTGTATTTTTTTCATTTGGTTTCTTTTCATGGCAGATTCTTCAGTGCTTATCTATTCAGGGCCTTAGCTCATCAGGTGGCAGGAGTTGTACTGGTGGCTGTGATGGTGGAACTGGAAGCAGTAGCGGTGCTTCAAGAGAAATTGTTAAAGACAGATAGCCTTTCAATTGCTTTTTTATGAGTAATTTCTTTACTAGTTTTGACACATCTACATGTGTTGTGTTATCAGGTTTGATGTTATGTTTGAGGAACTCCATCGAAAACAATCTCAGTGGACAGTTCTTGACACCAAACTGGGAGTCTCAGGCTTGCAGTTGCTGAAATCTTGTTGCCAGCCTATAGATCGTTTGTTAAACATTTTTGGTGGGTTCTCATTTTAATTTATGTCATTCCTATTTATTATGTAGTGGGTTAGCATCCATGAATGTGAAATGGTGCCTTTGAAACAGAAATACATATGCTTATCTTTGCCTTTGATGCCTTGTGGTTTTTGTATGATCTATTACTATTTTGCAATAAGTGCATAATTGGGAACTGATTGCATTTAAGCAAAAAGATGATCACTAATGTTTTGTGTGCCCATTATTTCACTTTCAGGAGTATTGTTCGGTGGTAAACTGGGTTGACTCTAGAGCCCTCTCCGGTACAAAAAAAGTATAAATAATTTTATAATATTATTTTTTTTATCTATTTTTATTAAATTAAATAATCTTATTTTCACCCTATTTCTCAGCTATTTTTACTCACTTATTTTTATTTATATATTTTTATCTTATTTCTCACATATTTATAAAACATTGTAATGATAACAATTAATAACTTGAAAATGAAGTTTAATTATATTTATAAATGTGATTGGTCCTAGAAAGAAAGTTTTTGTAGGCATAGGCAGTATAGGATAATGATTACTAGCATAAGAAATAGTAATACAGGAAAAGCGGCTTTTTGACTATAGTGAGGCTATTTTAAAAGCATTTTATGTAAATGGGGCTGTTTTGTAACTAATTACGCCTTTGGAACTGTTTACAACGGTGTCGCTATGGTCCATAGCGACACCCATGACACGTGATTTTTTTTTGTTTAGGTTGGGCTGAAATGAGCCACACCAGTGCTATAGGCTGGGCCAGCACACTTGATGGACTAACAAAAAGGAGGTGACCTCCAAGGCTACAGATGCTGATGCAGTTGATCTCACTGGGAGCCCTCCGCTTGGGGAGGTTCCCCAAGTGGCTGTTGCAGGGACTGCTGAGCAAGTTGTTCCCTCTGCCGAGGTAGGTGTTTTGTGCTTTAATTTATCTTCTATGTTGAATTGGCTTGGTTTGTTGAGGTGTTGTCTCTCTTTTGGAGTTCCTCAAACATAACATCAAACCTGATAACACAACACATGTAGATGTGTCAAAACTAGTAAAGAAATTACTCATAAAAAAGCAATTGAAAGGCTATCTGTCTTTAACAATTTCTCTTGAAGCACCGCTACTGCTTCCAGTTCCACCATCACAGCCACCAGTACAACTCCTGCCACCTGATGAGCTAAGGCCCTGAATAGATAAGCACTGAAGAATCTGCCATGAAAAGAAACCAAATGAAAAAAATACACAACTTTAACAAATATTAATGTTAGGAAGAAATAGAGCATTCGCATGAAACCAAACATAAGGAATAATTATATCAATCTACTGGAATGCCTTTATAATCAAAAACAAAAGAGTAATATATGTTTTTGTTCCTATTCCTAAGAAAATTTTTCTAGATTGGTTTTGGTCCTACTAAAATTTTGTCCAATTTTAGTCCCACAAAATTGGAAATACACTGTTATTTATCTTCAAATTAGTTTAAATAAAGTCTTAAAACCATTTTTAATCCCTACTTAAGTACTTGGAGGACTAAAGGTGATGAATTTTTAAATTTGGGGATTGGAATAGGACAAAAAAAACTTGAGACTTAAAAGCAAAGTTCGATAATTTTAGAGCGACTAAACATATTTTATCATTATCCAAGTGACATCTAAGAAAGCTGCAAGACATGTAGTAATCAGTAAGGTCACTAGAATAAGACATTTGCCCAAGTATTTCTTTTGTATTGATTTGCATGCTGCTGAACAATCCTCCCATGTCATTGTACCCAGTCATCCCCCTAGCAAATCCTTGGCATCAAACCTAGAATAGAAGAGGGTTCAGACGAAAAAAGACTTTGAGCCACCAAAACATGCAATAAAATTGGGATTTAAAGAAATTCATAATAAAAAATGTAGAAAACATACATCCGAACCGATCTGACAATATAATGAATATTGTTCTGGAGAAAAAGGATGTGCCAATGCAGGGTCTTTATATTGACTTGATTTTCCATCCAAATTTATTTGCAAAGCTTCCATTATGCACACTGTTACAGATCCCAGCGGTGAAGAATAATAATATAAAAAATTGAAATATGATTTACCAATTACACAAAAGTTAGAAAGAATGTATTTTCTAAATGTGGTCAAAAAGCAACTGAACAAAGAAAAAAATAAAATACACATTCAAGAATTTCAACAAGAACAGCTTTTCTTGAGTTCTGAGGAAAAAAAAAACAATTACAACTATAGAAACATCAAATAGCTTTTCAATTTCAATCAAGAAGCAGTGCAGAACTATGTTTTGGCAGAGAAGGAGTTTTGGCAGCCTTGGTAGTGCAAGGAGAAAATGACCACAAGGGTCGCAGAGACAGAATTTATACTATTTACTTATTTTTTCTAAATATTTATTTTATATTAAAAATGAGGCGCCGTAGGCTATAGCGACTTCATTGAAGCCATTTTTTGTCGTCATGGGCTGTAGCAACGTTGTAAATATGGCTTTCATGGCTTCCCTGAACTGAAAAAATTTCACTGTCACCGGTGTCGCTATGGCATATATATAGCGACACCGTTAAAAAGTGTCCCAAAGGTGTATAGTGTTTAAAAATAGTCCCATTTACGTAGATAATTTGGAGAACTGCCCCAATATGGTCAATCAACCAAATATTAAACACAACTTCATTTGAATAGGGAAGAACATGTCTCTTGCTCTCGGGTCTCCAATATTTGATTGTGTTTTTCGATGGACCTCATTGTTTTTTGCCATTTGTGGAGGTGGATCTTCTTCTTATTTAAATAACTGCATCTTGTATTCAAATAATTGGATTGTGGATATGAATACTTGGAGTGCTTATTTGAATATTATGATGTTTATTCGAATATATGAAGTGTTTATTTGAATAAGTGAGACTTTATTTAAATTTTATTTTATTTTATTTGACTATATATGGTCTATTATTTAATTTTTCATTTAAATATGTTGTAAATATTAATTTATTTTATTCAAATATGATATATTTTTATTAAATGAATAATGAATATAAATATAAAAAAATTCAAATTTTGGTATATAACATAAAAAAGTAAAAATATAATTGTTTAATTATAATTTCTTTTCTCTCTATCCATTTAAATCAAATAATTTTATAATATTATTTTTTATCTATTTTTATTAAATTAAATAATCTTATTTTCACCCTATTTCTCAGCTATTTTTACTCACTTATTTTTTTTATTATCTTATTTCTCACATATTTATAAAACATTGTAATGATAACAATTAATGACTTGAAAATGAAGTTTAATTACATTTATAAATGTGATCGGTCCTAGAAGGAAAGTTTTTGTAGGCATAGGCAGGATAGGATAATGATTACTAACATAAGAAATAGTAATACAGGAAAAGCGGCTTTTTGACCATAGTGGAGCTGTTTTAAAAATATCTTACGTTTCCCTAAAAAAAAAATATTTTACGTAAATGGGGCTGTTTTGTAACTAATTACGCCTTTGGAGCTGTTTACAACGGTGTCGCTATGGTCCATAACGACACCCATGACACGTGGCTTCTTTTTTTTTTGTTCATGTTGGGCTGGAATGAGCCACACCAGTGTCGCTATAGGCTGGGCCAGCACACTTGATGGACTAACAAAAATAATATCGCCCATAACGACACACGGTAAGAAAAAAATAAAAAAATGAAAATAATAGAAATGTAAAATAAAAATAATAAACTGAGTTACTTATTATATATTTATAAAAATAAAATTAAGTTTTTTAAAAATATAATTTTAAATTAAATTATATGAATTTTTTTTAAAAGACGCTATGGGCCATAGCGACTTGGTGTCGCTATGGGCCATAGCGCTAATTCGTTTTTTGTTTTTTTACTATTTACTTATCTTTTCTAAATATTTTATTTTATATTAAAAATGAAGCGCTGTAGGCTATAGCGACTTCATTGAAGTCATTTTTTGTTGCCATGGGCTGTAGCGACATTCTAAACATGACTTTCATGGCTTCTCTGAACTGAAAAAATTCTACGTGTCACTGGTGTCGCTATGACCCATAGCGACACCGATAAAAAGTTCCCCAAAGTGTATATTATTTAAAAATAGTCCCATTTACGTAAATAATTTGAAGAACATCCCCGATATGATCAATCAGCCAAAGGAAAAGCAAGAAACATTGAAAGCTAGCATAAGAGAATCAATTCCCTCTGCAGCAATAAGTCGTCAACGACCACCTTAGGAAAAATAAGAGCTGCAGTGAATATTAAACATCAATTTGAAAACGTACAGAGCAGAGATTCTGTCCCTGCAGAGAATCTGAATCAACTATTTGTGGAAACCTAACAACAGGGTTTTAATGTAGCTTTGAAAAGTAGCAGCATTTTCTGAATATCATATTTTGTGCTAATTGATGTTAAAATTCTGAAAATTTGTAACTTATATTTTCCTCCCAACCTCCACACCCTTTCTTGAAAATCTTTATCGAGGTGAACTTGCATTTTTTTTTTTGAGAGTGATTCAATTTGTGCATCGGTTTTTCACCTTCTGTATTTCATATGTTATTTGTGCTAAAAAGGGATTCTTAATTTCTTTTCAATTTCACCTTCTGAGTTTCATTTATGTGTAAGTTTGAAACTCAACAACACTTTGAAGAAACTGAAACAAATACTACAACATGCAGTTACAACCTTAAAATGGTTTCAGCATTCAACACCTAATGGCCATTTGTGAAACCACAAAGTTCTTTCTCATTTCCTTCTATTTCTTTTAGTGTGTTTTTGCTTTGTTCTCCTGCTCCTCCTTTCTGATTCAACAGTATAAAAAATTGCCTGTGCCTTTCTTCAACAACTTAGTGTGATTTTCGCGGTTTTTGTTTCACATTCTGACAGGAACAAAAAATTGCTTATTTTTCAACTCATCTCAAATGTTTAGTGAAATTTTCAAATGCTATAAGAGAACATGACCTTAGTTTTAGGTCTTTACAGTGCTAAACTGCTAATAATAAAATTAAAATTGGGGTTCTTCTGTTTTCTTCTTCAATATTGAGAAACTTGTGATTGATGAAGTGATTTGTTTTGAATTTAGGTTTGTGGAATCTCACATCTCTGATCTCTCATTTGTGTATGCAGAAGAAGAACATGGCTACCAATGGTCGTGTTAAGAGAAAATCTCCACCAGATGACTCGGATATTATCCATGTCAACTTATCAATCAGCTTTCAGGTGAATGCATCACTCTTTTTAAAACAATTTTTTTTTAATGTTTTCTGTTTTTGTTCTTTTCTTTATCATTGCTTAGGAAAAACCTTTGATTCTAATAAGGTTAAAACTCCTAACAAGTGAAATTTATCTGTGTTGTATGGAGAAAAAAATAGTAATATTTTTTTAATAAGATTAAACTAAGTTAGACATAAGTTAAAAATTAAATTTTGAAAAAATTAATAAAATGAAGATGATTTTTTCTTATTACAAGTTACAATGTTGAAAATCATTCTAATAAAAATCTTTTTCTTTTTATTTTTTTTTCAAAGGGAACTTGTTAGCAATTTTTTTGTTGTAAAATTACCTGACTGATTTTTATAGGAAGAATCCAATGCAACATATGAGTTCTCACTGTATACCATTTTGTTTTTGTTCATATTGGATCGTAGGATGGGCATCGATTGTTCTTCAAGGTGAATCAGGATTTGCAATTAATTAAGGTATTCAGAGAATTCTGTGATCGAAGGAATTTGGATTACGACACCTTGAAGTTCATATATGAGGGTACTCAAGTTAGAGGAAATCAAACACCAAAAACGGTAATTGCTTTCTTTCATAACATGTCACACCAAATTCTAGTAGTTAATTTCTTCACCTTCTTTATGTCTCAAAGGACTCTCTAATTTGTTAAAATGAAATTCATATCCTTGGGAGGTTATAATATACAGAATTATTCTAAATGGATGTAATATGATTTAGGTCTCATATATAGTTACATATATTTTATTTTTCTTTATGCAACTAATTATAGTTTAATTTTTTTGATATAAATGTAACTTGACTTCAGCTTAATATGGAAGATGGTGCTGAGATCTTTGCTGCGAGACACCAATTTGGAGGTTAGGAAATGGTCTCTCAGTTATGAGGAAATGGTCTCTCAGTTATGAGGAAATGGTTGTCAGAAAAAACTATGCATTATGCACTTTTACTTATTGTGAATCAACTTATATGTTAAACTTGAGTAGCAGTAGTAGTAAATATGTATTGAACAAAATTGAAGACTAAGAAGAGTATTTTTAGGATTTTCTTTTTTATTAGTTACCTCACTTTTTTATTTGATTTGAATGATATGATATTTATTTCTTTTAAATATTATTACTTAAATTTAATTCATCTTAATTTGATTTGAATTTTAAATGGAAATTACATAGTAGAAATATAAATTGAAACATCTTTCGACTTGGATTCCTACAATTGGTAAAGTAATACTTCTTTTGAAGTATTGTGATGAAATTAAAAGAGGTAAAATAATTTATTTTTATTTGAATAATTTTTTATGTTTTATTGTTTGAATTATTTTATTTAACAATATATATAACAAGGATGATATACTTTTTTTTGTTTTTTATTTGTACACTCCTTTTTTTTTGTTTAACTTATTCTCTCTCAATCACTCATTCTCTCTCTCTGTCTGTCTCTCTCTCTCTCTCATTTTATGTTTTATATTTAAAAAAATGGAGATTCTTTCTCTTAGTAAACTTAGTGAATTTATATTTTTTTTATACTTTATTTATGTACTAACATACATGGCATTATTATATAACAATAACAATACTTTTATCATATAAATTTATGTTTTTAAATTCTATTTAAATTTAAAAATATTGTATTTTAAGTATGAAAAATTTACTGGTGAACTGAATGTTTGATTTGCCTTAAAACTGTTTACATTTGAAGCAGATTTTAGGATGTTATATGTATAGATTCCATTTGCTTCAATTTTTATGAAAAAAGTATTTTGAAAAGTTTTAATGTATTTGTTTAAGCTTTTAATAAGTTAAAATTAAAGAAAAAATGTTTACTACTTTGGCACTATTTTAAATAGCCTTTCAAAAAAATTGTAATGATAATTATTTTGTAAAATAAATTATTTTTCTACTATAGTTAAACGAAAAATAACTTGTATTTTTTTTTTGTAATCTAGAAAAACAAGTCATTTTTAATTTAAGACCAGTGCAAGGGAAGGGATTTTAGCCCTTAGGTTTGAAGAATTGAAGTGTACTGTGTACACGAGTGACATAGTGCAACGCAATGATGCAACTTTTTTTTTAGTGTATAACACAACGTAACCTGCCATAAGTGCAGTTCTACCAGTTATTTTTTTGGTTTTTGGGACCAATAATTTAATGTTTTGAGGGAAATTAAACTCATATTCTTTAACTCAAGTTTTAGAATTTATTGATGAAAAAATATATTGAAAAAAAATATTGGTTAAAAATATCGATAGATTTTTTATTAATATTTATCAATGACAAATTAAGTCAATAAATACTTAATAATATAATTATATGTATAAAAAAAACTTTTTATTTGGAATTTTTTTTATCAAACATGATCATTTAGAAATTCAAAATAGCAAGTAAAACTTTTTTTTTTTACTTTAAACGATAAATTTAGATGTTAACTTTCTTCTTCCATATACTCAATTTTTTTATTTAATAGACATTAATAATAATAATAATAATAATATTTTGATAAATTTAAACTTTAATAGTCTAACCTTTAACTCAACATTTATAATTTAACTCAAGATGTATAACTCAACCACTTCACAAAGTCAAAGAAGACAAAAATACAAAATCTATATATTTTCTTTGGTAAAATAAGTGAAGTAATGAATATTTTACTATCATTCAATTTCAAATTATCATTTATTATAAGTTGTTAATGTTTATAATAATAAATATTCATATTAACAATGATATTAGTTGACAATATAAAACTATTATTTTACACTTTACACTATCAAACTATTAAACTGTTAATTTTTCTTTCATGCACCCTCGCCTAACCCCTTTAATATAATGTGTAACATTGTAAACGTGTTTCTCTCCAATCGTATACATCGTAAATTCTTCAATAGTTTTCATGCAAAATATTCACTACTAACTGATCACTTTTAGTCATATTTATCATAGGGAAAAAATCAGTGTCCATATAAGATTTCTCCTCATAGTGTTTACTTGGTTAACCATGTATAATAGTTAAAAAATAATAATGTAATTTATAATTAATCGTAAATGATTAATATGAGATTATTGATTGTAACTAATAATTAACTGCCTGTGAAAATATGATTCATTTTATCTCAAATACTAATAATATTTTTTAGGACACATTTATCAATAATATTACGAAATTATTAACCGTCAAATATGACTAACTATATATAATATAGTCAACTTTACCAATAGAGTTATATTTATAATATAGTTAATCAAGACTAATCATTAGACAAATAATATAACCATTAGGTTTTAAGTGTAACAACACAATAAAATTATTAATTTATGGATATTATTTTCATGTAATTTAGATTTTAATGTTATATATGTAATATGTAATATCTTACATGTCATCGTACTTATTATTAAAAATTAACATTAAAGTAAAAGATAAAACATGTATAAAGTAAAATGTATGGAATATATACAACATATGAATATTTGTTATATATACTATATACATTAGAAACTAAGTTGTTACAAAATATCTTCTAGACAACCAGTCAAGACACTCCAAAACACTACTCCATCAAGAAAGTCATACAACACAAGCCACCCCTAGCTTGATTCAACGCCATCACTCATGAATATCACTTATCTTGTAATGTTTGGATATTAAATATGGCCATCATAATCTTAACCCAAGGAAAATAAGGATAAAATTACAAAAGAAAAAACATGTACAATAATATGGTAAATACAATGAAAACATATATCGACAATAACATAACTCACAACTTAACAACTTGTTCAACATTTATCAACTTAATCGTAATTAACATTTCACAATACAAATATTAATAACTAATGTATCATCATACATGTCAATTAAGGAGATCTCCTATAATAAAGGTAAACAACTTAAGTGGTTTATGTAACGCCCGATTCTAACGCCCAATTTATATAATAATAATTATATATTTTCTTATATAATATTTTCACAATTATATCGTTAACAATATTTTTTTTAATAAAGATAAAGGTAAAAAACAATCATATTTTGTGAATTTAATACATGATATATCGTTCTAAAATATTTACAATAATGTATTATTTTACACAATATATTTTTCTTTCACTTTTATTACAATATTTACATTGATAGTGAAAATAAATTTACAAAAATTGTAATAGATTCATCAAATAGCCTCCACATTCCAATTCCTTCCAAGGAATAC